AACCCCAACCTGAGCAATTGGTATTGCTAGTATATCCTTCGCCACTTGGGATAGTCTATTAGCAGATGTCTATGATAAACAGCTGTGATAACTTACCAGACTTTTTCTGGGTAAACCGCTTCTCTGAAAGTATATCCCACTCTTTCTCTAGCAGCTTAGCCTGTCTAGCACTATTTGCTAATTTATACTTAGGCTGTTGCAAAAGCGATTTCTTCAGTTGGTACTTCGCGGAGCGGTCGGCTGTTCTAACGCTTTCAAGTACCTTCTCCTCTTTATCGAAAAGAGCTTTGCGTTCACGTTGAGCAATAGCACGGGCGCTACCACTCAGAGAGCCAGTATAGGGGACGCTCAAATTGATAGGTCGGCCTTTTCGTGAACCCCCACTACCTCTTTGATCTAAGATACCGTCAATCTCGTCAGCTTCACACGCAAATCCCTGCTTATATTAGCATAAGCTGTGATAAATGGCTGTGATTATTACATCGGTAAGCTGCTCCCACTCATCTTGTTCGAACCCAGGCGGAGGTTCAAGTTTGATGGCTGGAACTAGGCCTTCAGGTACGTCGCCGACTTGCTCTTTCGCGACAGGCATGGCGGGGACTGTGATAATGCGCTGTTGTAAATGGGGTGTTTTCAATGTAGTAAAGAGAGTTATTAGGTGTTGGGAGTTACTGGGCGTCAGGGGCTGGAGAAATGGGTAGACAGCATTATGCTCACCTAGAAATGGTCCGTGCGCTGCTGCCTGCGCTAGCGCGAAAACGCGGAAATTACCCAAAATGATCAACACATCGATGATTCCTTCATTTTTGGGCTGCACGCATGCGCGAGCTCGGCGTTTATCACAGCAGTTTAACACGTTTGTATGATATGCTCGCTACTGATTTTGCAACAGAAATGGTTGTATGCGATCGTGAAACAGCAAATTACGTCATGCAGTCCGTGCGCTGCTGCCTTTACTAGTGCGGAAATCGGGAAATTGCCGTCGCCCAAACTTTCCAGCTACCTAACTCTTTCAGCCTACTACTTTCTTAATTGTCGACCACATTTATCACAGTAATTAATCACATACGTCGCCTACGTTCATCATCTACTCTACTACGCAATGGCAAGGACAAAACCACGGCCTAAGGTCACCGGTAAAGCCGGCCGGGGTGGTCCTGATGGCAAGACAGTTACTGGCGGCAAGCCGGCTCAGAAGGCCCTTGCTAGTAAGGCTAGACGTCAAGTAGCAGGAAAGTCTACGCGAAAGGCACCTGTAGCTGTTAAGAAGAAGCGCAAGTTTAAGGCCGGCAGTAGGTTATCACAGTCGTTTATCACAGCTATTTTCTAATTTAGCTTAGCTGTCGCATTACGGGAAATCAAGAGATACCAGAGAGGTTTTGAACTACTCTTGCGAAAACTCCCCTTTTCCCGCGTAGTGCGCGAATTTGCACAGGTGCACAAGGCCGATATCCGCTTTCAACGATCTGCAATCGAAGCTCTTCAGGAAGCTACAGAAGCTTTCTTAGTTGGTTATTTTGAGGGTATAGTCTATCTACCCTATACTATTTTTCATTTAATAACTTTTATAGACTGCAACATCAATGCTATTCACGCAAAGAGGGTTACTATTCAAGAGAAGGATTCTCAATTGGCTAGGCGCTACTTTGCGCGCGAGTTACTAGCTTTTCTCTAGATTATAAGATATATCTAGATACACGTGCTTAAATGCTAGCTGGCGAAGCCTCTGTATATTATAAATGAAACTAGTTAATGCTACACTGTGTTAATCTACTGTGATACTATATAAACTTTTCTTTTATTGAAATCTATATTATACATCTTGCAATTTTTTTACTATAACCCAACCCTAACCCATGGTCCGTGCGACCCCAACCCAACCCCAACCCAACCCTAAGCTTGGCGCTGACAAATGGGTTGGGGTTGGGTTGGGGTCGCAAAATTTCTAACCCAACCCCAACCACACCCCGACCCATTTGCCAGCGTAGTGCCACCCCTCTATTTAGGTATAGCTATACCTATATATTCTAGGCCGCTAGTGAGCAGGGGCCACATTTGGCTTGATAGCAGCTTGGCTGGCTTGTTGCCATCTGTGGTCTGTAGTAATTAACCACAGACGTGGGGGCTATAGGATCTAGAGAAAGGTAGACGAGAGAGTAGTTAAGAGCTGTATTCGTTAAAGGTAGAAGAGGTACTCTAAGTTTATGTTCTAGGGCTGCTTCTCCTACGATAAGAAGGGCCCCTACTATGTCTATCTACCTAACATACATGGGCAAATCGTTTTCTAGAAAACAGGTTAAGCAGCCGTTAGCGTACCAAAGCCGTTCTAAGCCAATCAAAAAGAGCATGTGAGTAACAGGATTCTCTCCGATTGGTAAAGACTGTTGAGAATATTCCGGTCACCTGTCACGAGGACGCTAAGTCACATGACCCACACCGCTCTATATTAGCCGAGCTTTGTATAGTTAGCAATTGACACACTTACATGCCATGACTGAGAGAGTCATTCTTTCTCAACAGGTTATGAGCCCGGCTTACGCGCTTGCGTGTGCATTGTGAGTGTCCGGAGTGTCGTTTCTTCGATATGGGCAGCAAGCTGGTATATGCGTGTCTACGCCAGAACAACCCAGGAGGTCGTCGCCTTCTATATTCTAAGACACTGGGTCGTCGCCCTGGCTGCCGCGAAGGGTATTAAGTCCTGAAGACACTGGGCCGTCGCCCTGGCTACCGCGAAGGGTATTAAGTCCGAAGAAAAATGGACTATCGTCCGGAGAAGCTGGGAGCGTCTCGAAGATACCTTGGGCGAGTTATACCCAATTCCGACGCGCGAGTCGAAGAGAGCAATGGTTGCTCTATCCCTTTTCAACCAACCTTTTGACAACGATTCGAATACCTACCTACCGACGGTAACCATCGATTCTTCCGAAAACAACTCGAATTGCCTGCCTATCGATAGTAACCTTTCGAGACCTTCTTTTTAAACTAGTAGCTACAGTTCGACAGCTACTTTCAATTCCTTAAACTCGAAAACCTACCGTTTGACGGTGCTCGAAGTTTTTTTACTCTCTCGAACGCTACCCACCTACCCCCACCCGATTTCTCGATCGATTTTTATCTTCTTTCCAAAGGATTTCGTTAAATAAACGCAAAGAAGCAAAGGCTTATATAACGATGGGGGAGAATAAGGGTGTTAGGGTCTGGAGCCCTGAATAGGACACAGACAAGGAGGCAGGAGCGGAGGAACGGAGCGGGGACAACAAGAGAGGAGAGCGTACATAGCTAGAGTACTGGGAGTACTAAGCTAGGGGAGCGCTAGGATAGAGGAGAGCGTACACAGCTAGAGTACTGGGAGTACCAAGCTGGGGGAGCGCTGACTCTCACGTAGGAGTCGAGGGAGAGTCGGTATGTTGGTGATATCGATTCTACCTTGATTTTCAAACGCGAAAATTCTCTCGACCTTCTTTCTCGACCTTCTTTCTCGACCTTCTTTCTCGACCTTCTCTCTCGACCTTCTTTCTCGACCTTCTTTCCTCAACTCTTCACTCGGCCGATACCTCACTTTACTTGAGGGACTCGCAACGTAACGGCCACTATAGGGTGACAGGGAGGTTTCATTCTTGTTGACAAGGCACTTCTGGGGGAGTGTTGGAAAGTGCATGCAAGGCGTTCAGTGGAAGCATATAAAGGGAGAAGAAGCTTCGACTGCAAGACCTATACAAAGTAGTGGGTACAGCTGATCGGCTTATGGGGGAGTGTTGAGAATATTCCGGTCACCTGTCACGAGGACGCTAAGTCACATGACCCACACCGCTCTATATTAGCCGAGCTTTGTATAGTTAGCAATTGACACACTTACATGCCATGACTGAGAGAGTCATTCTTTCTCAACAAAGACAGAGTTTGGTACGCTAACGGCTGCTTAACCTGTTTTCTAGAAAACGATTTGCCCATGTATGCTACCTAAGATAAAGGCAGAGAGAGAAGATGCTGCCTAGAAGATTAAGTAGCTGAACGCTGAGCTTAAGCCTCTACAGCGAGAGGATTAGGAGCTGTCTATATCTATAAGAAGGATAGGATTACGCAATAAGCCTAGTAGGAAGCCTTAGTAGAGGTGGACAGAGAGAACGGGTAAGCTGGTGCGTACGTCTGGAGGTGGCGTGGACTGGTGGAGATATCAGACCTGCGTTTTACTCCTAAAGCTACTTCCTTTCGCTAAGGACTGTCTCTAAAGTAGGCCTTACATAGTAGTAATAGAGGATAAGGCACCTACGCACGCCTACTAGTATTAGAACGTAGTCTATAGCCTCTATAACGTTAAGAGACTACTATAGTGTAGCAACTCGCTAGACTGTAACTATATTGAGCCGTGCTAGTTCTATATAAAGAGAGAGACTACGAAGAAAGGAGCCCTATAGTTAAGAGCAAAGGCAGTTAGAGTCTGGCAGGACTGCTAGAGAGACCTCTCTTAGCTTAAGATCCAAGCTTAGATTAAGCGAATTCTTGTATATAGTCATCCTAAAGATAATTAAACTATAAGGTGGTAATAAGTATATTGAGGGGAGAGATAAGCCTCGAGTAAGGCGGCTATACTTTGGCTAAATTATTCTTAGCAGACAAAACTTTTGAAAGGCACCTCCGTAGTCCGGGAGGTTTGGGGTTCGTGCGTCGTGCCACATCCGAGGTCGGCCCTTTTTGGCAGCTAGCTTCAGACGACGTCACACACGCCTCTTATCTCCGTAATGCGATTAATGGACCTATCAATCGCCTCCGCTAGATGTAAGCTGGCCCTGACTAACTTTCTCTCCATGATGTTTTCCTGCTGATCCGCTGTTTTCCTTCTTTCATTTTGTCCTCACCTGCTCCTGTATGCATTTCTAGTTTCATGGCGGCCGTTTGAAATTTCCCATTGGCGGATCCTGTCTCCTACACACTGTACTCGATATTCATAGACGTAAAAGACACCCCTCAAGCCTATCCAAGACGAGCAATTTGTTCTCGTCATGGCTCCAAAATTTCTAGAGGAGAGTATGACGCTCCTCCGCCCGCTCCGACTCCTATGCATAGCAGCATACCGTAAGTCATCTCAAGTCGTGCCACCTCGCAGTCTTCAATATTGACGTCCAAACAGACTTCGTAATGACTATTTTTGAGGTCATCTTTATGGAATGGAGTCCCTTTACCCTCTTCAATATCACGAAGCTGCGCTTTAAATCCTTTGCTCGTCTCTGGAAACACAATGGCGAAGCAATGTCTACCGAGATGCCTGGCCCCACATTCCAACTGCTCTCGCAGTGTAAAGGCGTCATCCTGGATATTGGTCCAGGATCTGGAGAAATGCTTGCACGGTTCAACCCGGAGTTGATCACCGCTGTATATGGTGCTGAGCCTGCTGAGGATCTCCACCTGGGGTTACTGCTAAATGCAAAGAAGGGAGGACTGGGAAGCAAGTTCCATGCCCTGCTTTGTGGTGCACAACCCGAGAGTCTAATTCCAGCACTGCACAAGAGTGGGATCTTGGACGTCAGTGGGAAAGGCGGATTGGCTTCCGATGGGATTTTTGACGAAATCTGCTGTACCCGTGTGCTTTGCGGTGTTCCGCATCCCGCGCAAACTATTAAAAGTCTATACAGCCTTCTAAAACCTGGCGGCCGTATGGTGATTTGCGAGCACGTCGTCAACCCCTGGAGGTCTGAGGGCAGTGTAGCAGCTCGGTTTATGCAACTTGTATACACGGTTTTGGGCTGGCCATTCTTCATGGGTGGGTGCGAATTGCAAAGACACACACCGGACTACCTGCGGGATGCGGGAGAGTGGGATAAGTACGACTTGAAGTACTACGGGGCGAGAGATGCCATTCCCTTTATCGTTGGTGAGCTGATAAAGAAAGACGGTGGGATGGAGAAGAGTTATGCGGAGGCTGTAAAGGAGTAGATGAAATGACGGGATATGCAGTAGTCAGGGGATTTTCGGACGAAACAGCGGAAACTAAATTTATCAGTCCAATGCATAAAAATAGTCTTCGATCCACTACTTGGATTGTCTCGCTACCACATTAATAGACCAACTACCACTATCAGCGAAGCCATCGTCCAGTTTTGAACTTGCAGATTGCCCGTAGCAGCACTTTTGTGGTCATGGTCACCTTCATGCTCATCGCCATGACGAGCATGAACATGACCGGTGTCCTTCTTTTCGACGGGTATACGGCTCTGTGATAAGAGATTGATTCCGCGCAGTCCTCCATTAGCCAATAAAATGTCTGCCAAATCGATAATGGATGGCTCTGCGTTTTGCGCTTCCGCTTCCGCTTGAGCCTCTGCTTGAGCTTCTGCCTGAGCTGCTGCTTGAGCTTCCGCTTGAGCTTCCACTTGAGCCTCCACTTGAGCCTCCGCTTGAGCCTCTGCTTGAGCCTCTGCTTGAGCCTCTGCTTCTGCTACGGCTACAGACTCTATGGCGGCTGGAACGGCAGTCGTGTTTGCCACTTCAGTGCCATTTGCAATGAGAGTCGAGTTAAGTGCTCCAGCTTCGGCCGTGGCATTCAATGCCGCCGGGATCGCTTCACAATCTACCTCGCCCCCAAGATTCACAATCATAGCAACGCCTGCCATCGCATCAGGTAGTTCGTTTTCAGTCTGGAATGCCTGGGCATCGAAAGCCTCCCCTTCTGCAGGCAGCTGCAACTCTGTAATTTCTTCTCTGCCCGGCTGCTCAAACATCATGAAACTGTATTGACGACCGTCGCCTGTTTCGCCGAGAGTACCGGGGGCGATGTAAGGTAGGGCAGGCTCAGTTTCGCTTGCAATGTTGGTGATGTCGAAGTTGTTCTTGAAGTTGGACTGGGCAAAGAGGAGGATGCGGGCGTCATCGCATGTCGTGTCTACCAGGATAATGGTATACAAAGTTGTTGGAGAGATCCCGTTGCTATCGCCAAGAGCGAACGTAGGCTCTTCAGCTACTTCTATATAGATATGAGCATCGTTGAAAGTATACGGAAATGGCTGTTGTACCTTGCGCTGTGAAAACCGTTCCGTCTTTGAAGCCATTGATGGCTTCATCGGTGAAGCTGACTTGTACTTTGTCTGAGCTGAACCCCACCTGGAGATCCTCAGGCATGATGCTAGCTTTCTGGCCAGCTGCACATGCTGCTACGACTAGGAAAAAGGCTACTTGCTGGAAGAATTGAGAAGCCATGATGTGTTCGCTGAACAACGATCAGGGTGAGTTGAATAAGAAGTTAAAAGTTGAAGTAGGCAGTAGGATGTAGCGACAGTTTGATGTTGATAGTGATCTTGTCTTCAGCCTCCATGTACCTCATTGCCTCAGGTTATATACAATCTTTACCCTCTAGCTTCCTCCAATCTCCAATCCAAGATCTTCGCCGCTAATCACGCCCCAAACTATACATGACAGGTAAAACTCTCGAAAGGTTGGTACATCCTTGAGACTGCCTGTGAAAATAGAGCCTGGCATTGAGAACTGCTCACTCTTCAGACGATCAGCGCATGTAATCGCGGTACAACTGGTTTCGGTCGTCTTTTGGCGTCTTGGTACGCTTGTCAACTGTTTCGGATTCACATTTACTCGGCAGCCTGGCAGCCGAGAGGCTCGAACTACGACCGGCGCCTTAAGTGCTGAGTCCTCCACATGATTGGTCTTCCGGTGACTTGTCGCGAATGAAGCCTTATGGTGGCTGAGTGTAGTAGATAGTGCGGCGCTTGAGTTGCCGGAAGGGTTGCCGCCACACACAGCGTGTATCGCGCTGCCATCTGTATTTCAACCGTCGCCAAAAGCCTGACAGTTCTTCTAACGGGTGAGGCAGTTAATCTTGCGTCATGTGAATTTGCTGCTTCCAAGTTGACACTCGTGAATGCGTTGAATGCCTGCACCCACATCCGTGGAGTACGGCCAGAGCATCTGCAGCCTTGAAAGTGAATAGATTACGAATCACAGCGAAAAAGGTAAGACCGAGACAACTATGACACTGCAAAAAGCGATATGTAGATCAAGATACTGGGTGCATCCCTTTACGCAACCTGATGGATGGATTGTCTACCGGAGGTCATCTCACTAACACCGATCAGACGCTCGCACAGTCCACTGAGCGCCTCACTCGGACCAGTGAAATGGCCCGGAAACTGGTTGTTCCGATACCGAGTCACGTGGTGTGCTGCTAAGCGAATTTCGAGCAGTGCCCAGTCCACGGCTTGCAGCACGAAATCCCAATTTCGACCCATCTACCCATCGTCAACTCACACAACCGCCAAAATGACGAAGCGCACAAAGAAGGTCGGCATCACCGGAAAGTATGGTACCCGTTACGGTGCCAGTCTCAGGAAGCAGGTGAAGAAGATGGAGGTGCGTAAAATTGTCTGAATCGCTCGTCACAAGTCGTCGCTCATAGCCATAATAGATCACACAACACGCCCGCTACACATGCAGCTTCTGGTACGTTACGCTTCCATAGGTCGATTAGAGGATAATTACTGACGGCTACAAGCGGCAAGAACACCGTCAAGCGCCGGGCTGTCGGTATCTGGGACTGCAAGTCGTGTGGAAAGGTGACCGCTGGAGGTGCTTACACCGTCTCGTAAGAAACCCACGCACCCAATAGCTTGCATGCGCAGCAGTATTGAGGGAATGCTAACAAATACTCAGAACTCCCGCTGCTGCCGCCACAAGGTCAACGATCCGTCGTCTCCGCGAAATCGCCGAGGTTTAAGGGAAATTTGGGCACTGGGGTGGAGTTCTTCGAGCATTTTCTTCGCATCGGCAGCCTGAAGGACAACATGGCTCATTGCCGCATCAAGATGCCGGTCCTATAACGATCATGGATTTATCAGGAATTCACACAAAACAATGGCATTCATGACCAAGCGAAATGCTGCCCTTGTACTCTCGTGACGGATGCACTGATGTCTTGATTAGACTCAAGCCTACCTTGACATGATCAACCTTCGACCACAACACTGTTTCTACTAAATAATTTTCACCACTTGCAGGATCTGCATCTCTATATAATCGGAATGCCTCGTTTCCAGGCCCATCACATCGCCAGGTGTTCTGCCATCTCTTATTAAATTTTGACATGGATTCTCATGGAACCATACCCGGTTGATGGCCATAGGAACACCGTTGCCATGCCTTCCGGTCAGCTTGTTCTTCTGATTGTGGCCATTTACTATACACATGAAGCTTCCGCCTGATAGATCTAGCGGTTTCCGCAATACTACTTTCTACATTTCTCTTACACTAAACCTTACTCAAAAGCCGTCATCTATTCGGTCGCATCTCATATCACTCATTCGGGATAACCCAGCCTTTTATGTGAGTAGGTTCAAAAATATGATCATCCCCAGCCCTCGCAAATAATTGCTTTATCTAGAGGAACACAGTCGTAGATTGTACAGAGACCACACAGCAGCACAGTATACCTAACAAGTGACGCAGAGATCAAGATTCGCTAAAAACTACTGTGAATCAAGATACGTACGCAGTTATGAGCAGGAGTCTGACGATGACGGGAAGTCATCCACCATATGAGAAGCATCGTCGATCACACCCTCTAGGCAGCTTTCGTACACGCGTGCTCGGGCCTTCGCGGCTGCCTCGAACATGCTGCCATCCAGTTCTCCTTGCAATGCATGCAGCTTACAAAATTCGGCGTTAGCATATCCACATACGACGTCATGCCGTGAATCTGCCGACTGGTCCGCGCACCAAGTGGAGTTCCGCAGAGCCTCAACACCAGACTCTTCTCGCATCTTGGGAAAGCTAGACCGCATAGTGTCCGTACACGTTACAGATAGCAGATTTTTTTTAGTCTCGCCACTCCCCTGACGACAGCGATGAACCCTACAGGGCAGCTCCGTACATTTTTCATGACGTTGATTGCAGGGCTGTATGGCATATCTCTGTGCTCACATCATTGCCGTGCACGCTTATCGGGCGTTTACGGTCAAGCCATAGACGGGAAAGCAGGGCTTCCACCGCCCCAGCCGATGACGCCGGTGCCTCGCCGATTTTGATAGACCAACTGTACAAGGGTCCCTTTCAGTCTATTGAAAAAGATGGCCGTTTCTTTCTAGCCGTCATTTCGAGTTCATCTCTCTGCTTTCCCAAGCAAGACCCGCGTTGAACTACGACCAACATGTCTGGGTACTATGGGCCATCTTTTTACAACAAATCCTCGAGACCTACCTCATTAGCAGCATCAAGGGCAAACTCGTCATACAGAGTAGCTCGCAGCGCGCCAGTCACACCTCGAAATGGCTCTGTCGTCACACCCCGAAATGGTTCCATTGCTGCCACGATAGGTGGCACAACCGCCGCGCAAACCGCTGCCAACACTGCCGCAAACACTGGCCCTACAACACCTGCCTTGCTCTCTAGAGTGAACAGTAAACTCGAGAACGATGCCGACTCCGAGCCCGCACTCTTCAACGAAGAGATTCAGCGTAACGAGAAGGGCGAATACATGATTGGAAGGATCGCTGGTGGGAAACATCTTACCGATGATGTTGAAGACATTGATCCGGCTTGTGGTGAGATCAAGAAGGTAGACTGCGATATGCCTCTCACATTGACTGAGTTGGTCAACCACGAGGGCAAGGAGTACATCGTCCTGACCTTTGCTACCGGCGATAAGGAGAACCCTTTCAACTGGAACCCGTGGTACAAGCGCAGTGTCACCACGCTTCTGAATCTGATGACATTGTTCATCGGTCTTGCCACAACAGCATACAGCTCAGGCATCGGCAGCATGTGCGAAGAGTTTGGTGTCGACAATATCTATGGCCAGCTTGGATTGTTCACCTTCAACATCTCTTGTGCCATCGCACCCATGGTACTGGCTCCTTTCTGCGAACTTGTTGGTCGTAAGATCGTGTATGCCAGTGCCTTTTTGTGCTTCTCGCTCCTCTTCATCGGTCTCGCCCTGGCAAAGGACATCGCCACCATCATCGGTCTCCGCCTGCTACTCGGTCTCTTTGGATGCGTAGGTACCATCCTCGTCGGCGGTACCTTTGACGACATGTACGAACCTCATAAGCGCGGCCGACCCATGGCCATGTTCAGTTTCGTCGCAATCTTCGGTACAGTCGCCGCGCCCATCTACGCTGGTTTCATCGACCAGTCGCTCGGCTGGCGCTGGATCGAGGGAATTCAAGGCCTAGCCAACGTTCCCTTGTTGATCCTCATCTTCTTCTATTTTCCGGAGACTCGCGGTGGTGCTAGGCTACATAAGCGCGCAAAGCAACTCCAAAAGGCAACAGGAGATGACCGCTACGTTGCTGAGGACGACATTTACACACCCGACGTCAAATCCATGCTCAAAGCCTCTTCCGTAAAGGCGATCCGCATGCTCGTTACCGAACCCGTCGTTTTCGCCTTTGGTCTCTGGATCGCCTTCTGCTGGGCTGTAGTCTTCCTCTTCCTCTCTGTCATTTCCATCACCTTCACCGAGAAGCGTGGTTGGAATGAAGGTGTCAGCGGTCTGCCCTACATCTCCCTGGCTGTTGGCACATTCTTGGGCTGGGCTGCTCACCATTTCCAAATGAACAAGTTCAACAAGCTACAGGCAGACCCCAATGTCCGCGTAGTTCCCGAACATCGTCTCTACGGAGCTATGTTTGGCGCTGTCTGGCTTCCTGTCGGCCTCTTCATCTACTCCTTCACACAATACGGATACTTGTCCTGGGTCGGGCCGGTCATTGGTCTTGCACCCATCGCATTCGGTATCTTCTTCGTCTTCGAAAGCACATACTCGTACACTGCCGACTGCTATGGCGAGACGTCTTCTTCGGCGATTGCAGGTCAAGGCTTGATGAGGAACACGCTGGGCGCCGTGACGCCGCTTTTCGCGAATGCATTCTTCCATAACGTGGGGAGTCAGTATGCGGGATTGATCCTAGCAATGTTTGGCACGGTGTTGAGTTTGATTCCTTTTGTCATGTTCAAGTATGGCCATTTGCTGCGTGCGAGATCTAAGTTGGCGAAAGAGTATTAATATAGGGGGTGATTAGGTCTTATGGACCGGATATCAGCATAGAATAGCATAGTTTCGCAATCTAGGCCTGGTTTTCAATGAATGATCGTATGGTGAATATCCATTTCAGCATGTGCCAAGAGTACTCGTGCAGAGATAGAGATGTCATTTATCACCCACGTAGCCCATGCCTTCCCTCCACCAACCCCAAACCCCCATACCCTCCATCCTAGCCCCAAAATCTTTGACGCTATCCACCTCTTCCAGCTTCCCATACGTGATAGTATCTTTGAAATCTTTCCCGTCAACTTCCTTGCCCGCGGGCTTTTTGACCAGCTGAAAGTCCTTATAGCGCAGTCTCTGCACATTTGCTACCCACTCTCTCACGCCAGACTCTGAGCCTTGACAGTACATAATGCCTGGACAGCCACCATATCGGAGGAGAGCATAGACATGGCAAATCGATGCTGCGGCTTTGAGTTTGGCTACTTTTTTGCGGGATGTGATGTGATGAGTGCGAATCAGGGCGTTGTAGAGCGGATGAGCCATGCCATTGATACTGTCGGAGTAGAGGTGATAAACTTTATCGCTTGTAGCGATCGATCCCGATCTCTTGGATGCGCGAACGCACGTGACGTCACTAGCGCTAAGATTTTCGACGGTCGCGCCCCAATCCATACCATGAGATGCAGAGCGAAGACTCAGACCACGACTATATGGATCGCCTCCGCTTATGAAATTCTGTGTAGGGACAGTTATGAAGCCTGCCTTGCTTCACAGAGTCGCTGCCCCCTCGCCGTCGGTTCTGAGCTTTCTACGGGTTCAAGTCAACAATGCTTTCGAACGACCGTTGGCGCAATGCACGCCAGGGAACGGGGAACGGCGCGGCATCGTCATGAGAAGCGGGATCGGATGGGGTTCCGGAAACACATGCAGAGCGAATATGCGCGGTGTGAAGAGGGGGAATGGTACTGGGGAGAGGATATTTGCAACTTCGCATTGTTTACCAGCCCTGGACAAGTCACTCGCCATTGAACAATCTTCAAAAAGCATAATGAAGTCAGGCGAACTCCCGATGTACCGAAACTTTTCTACAACCCGCCCAAAGGAAGGATGGAATATCTTCAAGATAGCCAAGATGCGACGACTCGGGCAATTGCAGGCGCCTCCTCCCCCACCGGATGAGACGTCGCCAGGCTCAACGGGGTTTAGTAGTAGCCTAGGTCGCATCATGCGGCCTACAAATGAGCTCAAAATGCGTTGTACGGAACTAGACGAGCATGGCAATGTCACGCTCGTTAGTGGGGAGTTCAAAAAGAGCGAGTTGATCGCCAAGGTACGCATGTTGGCTGGCTCTTCAAGTCTCTGTAGCTGATAGTTGGTATTAGTACGGGCTTCTTCCTCGTGATCTCCGAAAGATTGACTCCTCGCTCCTTCCCCATATCCTCGTTCGACCCTCCGCTATCCTTATAAACCTTCTCAATCTGCGCGTGTTGTTGAAGCACAACCGCGTCCTCGTATTCGATGCATACGGCACGACCGATTCGAAGTCGCAGTCCGTATTCATGTACGATCTCGATCTCAAGCTGCGTCAGAAAGAATCGACTTTAAACGGTACCCTTGCATACGAATTCCGAGCCCTCGAAGCTGTCCTGATAAGCGTGACACTAAGTTTGGAAAAGGAGTTTGAAGGTGTCAGTGAGCCAGTCGTACGTGTCCTGAGGGAACTAGAAGAAGACATTGACAGGGACAAGCTGCGGTATCTGTTGATCTACAGCAAAAAGCTCGGTAGTTTCGAACAAAAGGCTCGATTGGTCAGGAACGCACTTGAGGAATTACTGGAAGCAGACGATGACTTGAGCGCTATGTACTTGACGGAAAAGGCAGAGGGCAAGACACGCGAAGACGACGACCACACTGAAGTCGAAATGCTCCTGGAATCATACCATAAAGTCGCTGATGAAATCGTACAAGCAGCCGAGAACTTGGTGTCGAGCATTAGGAACACAGAGGAAATGTATGTTCCCCTCACATCACTTTCAGTCAAAAACTGCAATACTAACAGTCTCCCAGCGTCAAAGCCATCCTCGACGCCAACCGCAACTCTCTCATGCTGCTCGACTTGAAGTTCTCCATTCTCACCCTCGCAATCACAGCTGGAACCTTTGTCGCAGCTCTCTACGGAATGAACCTGAAGAACTTTATCGAAGAGTCCGATTTCGGCTTCTACGGCATAAGCGCCTGGTGCTCAGTCTTCGGCGCCATCGTTGCAGTCTACGGTCTACACAAGCTCCGCAAAGTACAACGCGTCAGTATGTACGGCCATGGACCGCATGCCCTTGGCACCAGAGAACCTATTCGACCTGCAATCGCCGGTGGAGGCGGGTGGGGCGTAGGAGCTTGGGGCGGTGGTAGCAGGAATGGTGTCAGCAGGGGCGACATGGGGAGTACGATGATGACTGGACACGGAGATCTGGGGGGTGTAAGCAAGAGGGGGGATACACTGTCGAGTATCATGGAGAGGGAGAGGGCGTTGGCGAGGAAGCTGGGCAAAGTCGAACGCGGCATTGACGATGCTACGAAGTACTGAAGTGGACCGATTTTTTTATAAGCGGTGATGGGCATTTTTTCTCTCCGCTTTATTCTCATCTCTGCTTAGATATCTCTCCTCATTGTTTACGTTGCACGAATGCTCCGTGGGTCTGGCTTGCATAGCGATGGCGTTTGGGCTTGAAGACTGGATGGACAGTTTAGAGGGGGGGCAATCATGTCATATCATTATTGTATACTAGTGTATATATATATATATATATATATGTGTGTGTGTGTGTGTGTGTGTGTGTATAGGTCAAGCCTCACACAGTAGGCCCAAGCCATCTCGTATGACCTTTCGCAAAGCAATCCAGTATTTTGCCTCGGGATGTTCTCCTATTACCCCATGTATCCTCACTCCCATGTGTGGCGGTGTTTACTAGGCGCCAATAGTCCTATCCATGTCCTTATCTCCACCATAACCCTGCTCTTTCCTCTGCTTCGCAGCACTCTCGTCATCATCGCCCAGAGCCTCAGTTCCTCCAAACCCTGAATCGTTGTTCGCCTCGCCTGTCGAACTCGTCGTCTTGCCCCCCATGCCGCCTTCTTGGATGCTCTGTCCGTAGCGGATCTTGTCTGCAGGAGTGATGCCGTGTGTGTTTGGGGCGCCTGGATCGCTGGTCTTGGTATCGGTGGATGTGCCAGTTGAGGGGTCTACGAAGGTACGTGTTAGCTAATATATGACAGGTAGAACTAAGATGACATACCGCCGAATTGGCCGGCTTGCTTGGAGTGCGGCTCGACGAAGGTATGGACGCCTTCGTACTGGTTTTGTCGCTCGCCGCCAGGCTCAGTGTCCATGAGTTTATCTGACATGGTGGTGTAGAGAGGTGTGGAAGCTTGACGTTTTGAGAAAAAGGTTTATCAGATATATGAGTAGAAATTCAAGAGGATTGTGCGTTCAAATGGTGAAATTGAGGTGTATTGAAGCTTGAAGGGTTCGAGTTATGGGGAAAGCTCGATGCTATGACGTAACCATAAAACGCCGTACGCGAGACGCGCCCAACAAACACCAAACCCCCTCTTGCTCATGCATAGTGGAACCATGTCTCAACTAAGTGCGCTGTATACATTTTCACCCCTTATGATGAGTCGTCGAAATCTATGCCCATTGCAAAGCTGTGGAGTTTGTTAGCTTTTCTCTCAAACTCGCATTGTGGGAGTTTACATACCTCTCGTACAACCTCATGTACTTGGCCACGAATGCTTCCAGATGGAATATCTGCTTGCTGCCCATCTTACATCTGTGTTCGTAGAATGCCGCCCACTTGATGACCTCGGGCTTCAGCGCATCGTCCGTTTTCGGTATGAGTTTCCATGTCAGCGTCTTGATGATAGTTGTAGAGTCGATGCAATGCGATAGAAGATCGTAAAGCGAGGCGCGGACTTGAAGTAAACGTTGTGGGGAACGCTCTTCGACGATTTGACGAGCGATTTGCTCAATGAGGGCTTCCCAGTCAGGAGGTGGGATGTGAGTTTGATCGGTAATTTTCTCGCTAACAATGTGTTATTACAGCGCGTAAACGTGTAGGCAAGAAAGGGACGTACTTTTGTGCGTGAACTGCCTCGAACATGAGCAGTGCCTTTCGCAAGTTCCGCCCACTGTCTTTCGCTATCCTCTGGTTCAGGCTTTCAACGTCCTTCCATCCCTCCTTCTTCCCGACTTTACTCAGTACACTGCAAATCTCGCTTTCGGTGGGCGCTGCAACCCTCACGAGCAGCGTTCTACTCCTGATGGGTGCAATGATGTTGCTTGTTGAGTTTGCCAGCAAGATCAGTCGCAAATTCGGGCTGTACTTCTCCATTGTCCGCCTCAATGCAGCTTGCGCATCTCTCGTCAAGTGATCCGCCTCGTTGATGACTACAACCTTGAATCGTTGCTTTGCGCCCAGATCAACCTGTTGTGTTTGTGCGACCTCCTTCAGCAGATCCTGCACAACTACTCTGTCATAGTTTCCGACATCTGACGGAGTGATTTCGAGGTGGTAGACAGAGGCGACAATGTTGAATTCGAGTTTACGGTTCGTGGTAGTCTGGAAGACACGCGCATCGATCTTGATCTTTTCGACACCGGGACCATAGAGTTCTTTGAGAGTTGCCACAATACGCGTCTTCTTACCTGCACCGGAGGGGCCGTATACGAGAAGATGTGGAAAGTCACCGCTTTGAGCCTAGGAAGTGTCATGTCAGATAATGTGCTGTTTAGTAACTTATTCGAATTTCTTACAAGAGCTCGTAGGCGATCTGAAAGCTCTGGATGATAGCTGAGCGCTTCTAGGTTGCGCGGTCGATGTTTGTCTACTAACAGCGCCATTGTGAGAGTATTATTGTGCGATATTGTGGAGTAGTAAATTTGTTGAAGCGTGAATCTGGAAGACGCGTCCCGAGGCAGACGCGTAAAGTGGTTAAATGGCTTGGCGGCATTCACGTCAACTGCTGACCGTGCCCCTCCGACATGCACGCTTCAACACATACACATTATCCGCCATACACTGCATAGATCAGAAATTGTATATGCATTCAAATCGACATCTCAATGGGCGAACTTGTAAATGTTTTGGGCATTAGTTCTGGTCCAGCCAGCTTCGAGGCGCAACAGGTGCTAAGCACAGCCAGAAGACATCCATGAAGGATTCGCCCGTGTTCAGACGCTTGCTTAACGCCTGGGTATCGTTTATAGTACTAGTACTGGTCTTTGGAATATATCAGGGGTTATTTCCTATCTCGGTAACCATACACTTGCGCCGTGTCTTGGCCAGTGTATGTAGAATTGTCCCAAGGTGATTTACCTCTGAAACCTGTCCTTCATGCATCACCTGAGCTTCATATGCTAATGTTCTCTCACTATGTCTCATATGGACATTCGACACCACCAAGTACTTTCACAGCAAGAGGTCTTGCTGTGGATCTACGAGGCATTATTTCCATCCCCGCGGAATCTATAACCAACTTGTAAACTTCCCTTACTATAACATCTCGTTCAAATGCAACTCAACTTTACGGTTTATGTATATCTCGACTTCACCAATCAACCGCCACTCCCAAGAAAACCCATCGCCTGTAACGGCATACTCTTTTGAGGAGTTCATGGTATACTTCCCATACACACCTCGCAACTCGGCCGTTTCTTCTCCCATAATGGATTTAAGATCACACACTGTGTCATTCGAGCAATCAAGCTGGCAACATAGTGCTTGCACGCAGCGCCTACCTGAAGTTTCACCTGCGAGCACTCGTTTTGAGGATTTCGTACCTGTTCATAAAGTAAAGACTTGGCAGGAAGTCGACAACGAGGAGTTGCGGCGTCGCATGAAATCTATTGTGCATTTTGCTTCGAAGGGCGTGAAGAAGGTAAAGAGGCAACTGAAGATGGTGACAAAGAAGCGCGTGTAGGCGTCATTTTACCTATTCACTTTATAGAGCAGACATTTTGAATGAATCTACTCATGTTTGTGTAAAAGATGCTCCTGAAAACGTGCCCCTCTCATGTTAGTGTTGTTGTTGCAAATGACATCATAACTACGCTCTTTATTACTGATCGCCATCCCTTCATTCGCTCCTTTGCTTAGTTCTTGATTGTTCTTGTAAAGCACCTGTGTTATATTGGATGTGGCTCCCGCCCAACTCGATGAACTCAGTCCAGCTTTCCGTGATGACACGCAATGAAGGAGCCGGCGGCATATCTCTCTGCGAGCCACAGCAGTCGCATTCCGGCGAGCAAGAAATTAACATGAGAGATGGTGCCGAGCAAGCTACCAGACAGCGAGATTCAGACAGGAAGAGAGCATTCGCTCTCCTAGGCTCTGCGTTATCACAGCTACAGATATGGGGTATGATACTCAAAACTTCGCATTCAGGTAGAAGTAAGAAACAATCTCACAAATATAGGCTTCGCCATGAGCTACGGGGTTCTTCAAGAATACTATTTCGACAATTGGAAACTGGAAGGCGGTCGCAAAATCACCGGTATCATTGGGACAACATCAAACAGCGTCATGTACCTATCTATTCCTGTGCTGTTTGCTTTATTCACCAAACGTTGGGCCGGTTATCGCCAGACTGCAGCAATCTGCGGCGCTCTACTGGCATGCACCGGCTTTATCTTGTCGGCACTTAGTAAACATGTTTGGCATCTTGTCGCGACACAGGGAGTACTGGCAGCATTAAGATGCGCCCTTGTATACAGCCCGACTACGCTGTCCCTCGGCGAATGGTTCAATACCAAGAACAGGATTTGCAATCGAGCTGTAGCCTACGGCATCTGCTTATCCACAAAAAACATTGTGGGATCAGTTTGTCCGTTCATCTTCCGAGGACTTCTCGATCGCTACGGCTTCCAAATTACCTTGATCGTATGGGCCGCTATTACAGTAGGAACTGCTATTCTCTCCATCCTACTGATACACACGCCTCGTTCAAGCATCAACGCAAGCACAGTCCGCAACAATCAATTAAGTGGGTCCTAGAAGGTTCAGATTGGATTGATTGATTACCGCTTTAAGCCTAGTAGTTACCTATAGGAGTTTAAGCCCTACCTAGATAGGTAAGTGGGTCTAGGAGAGTGACCGGATTGAATTGATTGTTGCGGAGTCTAAACGCAAGCACTACTCATGGACGAAAAATCCCCTGGCACTTTCTCAAGCATCGGACTTTCTGGGTCTACAGTATCGCAACTTTGCTCCAGAGCGCTGGTTACGGTATCCCGCAAACATACATCAACGAGTACGCACGCAATGTGTCCAAAATGTCGCATACCTTTTCGACACTCCTTATCACTCTGATCAATATACCTGGTATCTGCTCCTCCACCTTCTTCGGCTTTTTGAGCGACAACAAGTACTTTCATGCCTCTGCTCTGACAGTTACCGCAATATCCGCAGTCACCTCCGCTCTATCTGCGTTTTTGCTCTGGGGCTTGGCCGCGCAAGGGGGTATACCTTTACTAGTGTTGTTTGCCATCACTTTCGGCTTCTTTGCTAGTGGTTACAGTGCAACCTGGGGAGGAATTGTAAATGAAATGGAAAACGATGCAGCGCAAAATAATGAGGCAGTCGACAGTGGAGTGCTGTTTGGCTTGCTTAATGGTGCCAGGGGTATCGGTTATGTAGCGGGTGGGCTTGTCAGTGTGCCTCTCATCCAGGCTGGAAGCACGACGTCAGTAGGGCACTTTGGATACGGGACGACGTATGGACCCCTTGTTATCTTCACCGGTCTCTCGTTATCTTTTGGTGGTTTAGGACTTGTCTTTCGACGAAAGTAAGAGCAGACGCTACATCCGCGAGAAAGGCCCCACCAGAGATACATGACTTAGATAGAAGAAGCGGTTGACGAGCAAGGTCATCAGGATCATAAAACAGAGTTAAGATAACTTATAACACTTGAATGTAACTGTGATGCCTAATCGCCGAGTATCCCCCGAACCATCTCCACTCTGATACCCTAAAAATCGATGACGCATAACCCTAGCCCCGCCATCTCACTCCACCCCACTTGGTAAGACTCTGTTAGTCACCCACCGCTTGCCATCTTTCCGTGGTACCCGCTTGCGATTCCTTTTCCGCATTTTCGGCTGATAATTTAAGATTATTATTTATTCAATCGAAAAATCCTCCATCAATAGCTCCCACCCGGTTGGCACAATTGGCTAGCGCGTGAGACTTTTAATCTCAAGGTTGAGGGTTCGAGCCCCTCATCGGGTGTATGTCTTTTTGCAACTTTTTTGCAACTTTTTGGTACCTTTTGTCTCTTTTTGCCCAACTTTGTTAACAAAAAGGTATCTTGCACACGCTTGATTCATCGTATTTTTCACTCTACAACGATACCCAGCTAATATATCTAGGCAATAGGACAGCTTATCAAAACTTCCTCCGCTCAGAGACGTGCCATAGTCGCCGCGGGACCTTCTTGTTAATTATATCCTACAGTTTCACGTACTGTATACCAACACTCGCGTAATATCTCATCCCATAGTCTAATCTTTCGATAAATACACCCCATTTGATCGTATCATAGATGGTGATCCGACTACTATATATGCGGCACTTGAACTACCACATTACCGCATACCTTATGCCACATACCACAAACACCTCCACTCGCCCCTTCTCCACAGGCTCCGTCTCTCCTTCCCTTGCAGCGAGAAAGGGGTAGTAGCCACCACCAAACCCACGCATCATCCCACGCTACCACTAGGCCCATGTTTTTCCCTTTCCACCCTGCATAAACCAGCACTAGCATTTTCTTCCAGAAACCCCCCTTCCTTCCTTTTCCCTCTCACCTGCCCAGTCCATCGTTTCCAGTCTCCAAAAAAAGGAATCATCCTTTAGCTTGCGTTACTTACTTGCGTGTCCAGCAAAAAAAGCCATAGATACGCCCCCGTTCCCCCTGCTTTTCCCTCTACCACTGCTTCTAACCGTGCGCAGTGCGCCGGATTTCACATTTTCAATGGTGAACCATGTTATATTACTTTTCCCCTTCGTTTTCGCTTGTCCGACGCCGACGCGGATGCGCATCTTGCTTTCTGCTCGGGCCGCTGGCTTGTTCGGTCGTCCCGACGGAAGGGACGTGCGATGGGTATGCGTAGCTGCTGGGTGGGTGGGTTTCGGTAGGTACCGACGGTAGGGTAAGTAAGCACGGGCAATAAAGTAACGAACGTATCTTTCCTTCTTCCTGTTCTTCCTTCCTTTGCATGATTGTTTTTCGCGTGTGACGCTAGAAGCCATGGTATGGAACGGCATCGAACGCTAAAAGGGGCGTTGAGGTGTTACTGTTCCTGTATAACGAACTAGGCTTATCGTCTTTTACGTGTCCCTGTTGGGAATCTTGGGTAAAACACCATCGTGTTTAGATTTTGGCCATGTTTCTTCTTTGCTGTTATTGCGCGCTGATCATACGGGACGTAGAAGGAAAAAACAGAGATGGCAGATAAGACTAGCATCTCCCTCTCAACAGTCTGAATGTGTAGTCGTCAAGTAGATTTTTTTTGTGTTTGATAATCAATAATCATATACACAAGGACTAAATACAATGCTCGTCATGTATATCGTTTCCTTTCGTAGATACACGTAATCATCGTGGACAACTTACTGCGGCGCGTTGACCTTTCCAGCAACAAGCGCAATCAATGCAGCACCGACACCGGAACCGTCCTTTGCGATGCCAATCCTGACCCTCTTCTCACCCTTTGTGCCAATCTCGGGTATTGCACGCAGTGCCTCGCGAATGTACTCTTCAAAGTTGGGGTAGAACTCTACTAGCGAGCCGTCTACACCAACGTCAATCTCATCGCCCTCGCTTGCGTCAACATCGCCACGTGGTGGAGCAATGCCGGACTTGTCCTCGGTGGTAGCAGAGCCTGACGACTTGTCCAGACGACCAGTGTTGATGACGACACCAGCAATCGCGACGGCGGCGAGGCGAGCAGCACGACGTCCAATGGCCGCTGCAATCTCTCGAACAGCTTCGGCATCCTCTGCGCTAACTGCGGAAATGTCATAGTCCTTGTCCAAGGTCTGTCTCAGCATGCGCAGACCGGGGCTGTGGTCGCCAGCGCATACACTGAGGAAGCTTGTGTCAATACCCCATTGTTTCCATATCGGGCTACCATCATGTATTTGTGTTGTGCTGTGAACATCATTCGAGGATGAGTTGTCGTCGGTGAAAAGGGGAACACTTGGGTCTTTGATAAGCTTGACCAGTGCGAGGCGAAGAAGCTCTCCCAGAAACATGCCCGATACACGTTTCTCAAACATCTGGATGCCTGGGTTCACAGAGTTCTTATCCAGCTCGATGTCATACGGGCTGTTGGGCAACGTGCGGAGCGAGTTGTCAAACGAACCCCACTCGGTGTTGACAATCATCTCTCCGGTAGACTGGTCATAATCTCCAGCGGTCTTGCTCTGGGTGAGCTTGCTGACCTTGTCCAACTTCTCTACGTAGGCTCCATTTGTACCCGTTCCGAAAATTGCTCCGAGCAATGTGCCAGTCTTTCCGGGAGATGTGTATGACCGGGCCATGAGGGTTCCGACGGTATCATTCACAAGAGCGGCGACCTTGACAGGCAGATGTAGCTCATCAATCTCCTGTTGGAGCAGCGCACAGACGTCTTTTCCGACTGCGTCTTGAATGTCAAAGCCCTTTGTCCAGCGCATGAGCATGCCCTTGTTGATGCCAATCTGATGCACCGGAAACGAAAAAGTAAAGCCCAGGTTGAAGATCTCCTCATCTTCCGGCTCGCCGCCCTTTCCTTCTCTGCGCCTAAGCGTGCCGGCATAGTGTTCTTCGTGGTGTAGTTTGAGGAATGCTTCAATCTGCTTGGCAAGGAAGGAGAAGAGTTCTTTTGATGTCTTTGCTACCATGAGCTCACGCGGTATTGCGACTTTGCTCTGCGTGAGGGAGAAGGTGGTGTTGCCATGGAGCTCAATGGAACAAACGCGAAAGTTTGTGCCGCCCAAATCGACAGCCATGTAGAGGCCCTGTTCATGTTAAACATGGTCGCACGTCTACGCGTATGGCGGTCATACCTTTTCAGTGCCGTTGGGGACAGCAGTGACATAGGTAGGAATCTGGCTCATTTCAGTGCCCTCCTTCACCAGGCCCTCGTCTACGCGTCGTCAGTGACCAATGATGAACCACAGGTGTTAATACCTACCCATCTCCCGTATAAACTCCTTGACGGCCTTGTTGAGGGCATCGTCGCTAAAGTCAAACTCGGCGGCCACCCGCTTGGCTTGGTCGGCGAGTGCCATGCTGCGCTTATGCTCTCGATTAAAGGTTCCGACAAACTCGACCTGCTGCTCAGGTTTGGGGCAAACCGAGGGTTCTTGTAGAACGATTGGATTTCGGAGCGTGAAGCCGGTTGCGTGATCTTTGGTAACGAGGCGCACGACGGCGTTGGGAAGGTGGGGTGCGAAGAAAGCAGTTCCAAGCGCTAACAGAAGTACAAGGAGGCTGAGGATCGTGTGGGTCACCAGAGAAGTCCCTGTATTTGCTTGCCGGGCTTGACGCGCGCTCTGCGTCGGGCTGGAGCGTGGGCGCGTGGCTTCACTTGGGCTTGATACCGAGCTGTTCCTGCTCATGCTGCCCCGCTTGTTGTGCACCTATGACGAAAGATGAGGGGCAGACAAGCTCCAGCGTTCAATTACCGAGCATCAGCCTCACTTGCATGCCAATGCTATATGTTACGAGACGAGATTACTGCAGGTTCGCGCTATTGGTCCAAAGGTGGGACGGAGGCACAGAATCATGGAACTTGTCATCTTCGGAGCGACACCAGTTAGCACGTGCTTGGCAACCCATGCAGAATGACCCCTCAACTGCGCTATTATACTTGATCACGACCTCGCTACCATGTCCTCACATGTACATTCACGCCACTTGGGCAACGCATTTGTTGACCTATTTGTTGAGTAGTCGCAAAAGGAACGGCTTGCTTTCTTTTGTGCTCGCGTGCCTATGTGTGCTCGACTACGATAATGCTCCTCCATCCAGCCACCAAAATCGATACTCGCTATGGAATAGGTAAATGTACTTGTTATACAGTCGGCACGTGTGAATAGCTTAAGCCCTCGAGGCAACAAAGGAGACAATGAAAGAGAGAGAGAGAGATGAATGCCAACGGTACAACCAAGTAAAATCCATGTGCATGTATCGAAAACTCCATAGTATAGCAAACAAGTGGTAGGCGGAAATAACCCTGCCTCCACCGAGCATAAACCCATGCAAACAAGGAAACATGATTAGCGGGCTGCCACCTTTTAAGGCGTGTGTCAAAGGAAAGAAGGAGAGGCTGCTACCGCAGTAAGAGCGTTCTACAAGTATGTACGGTAGGACAAAAAGAGAAAACCGAAAGCAACGGCCGAAGACGACCAAGGCCGGTTTGTGTACGTCAAAAAGTATTCCTTCCTGCCCCAATTCTATTCGTCATTAAATGTCCGTCATCCGAGCAAGCCGCTGGCTGCCCGTCTAGTCTCCCGCACCTCGATTGGGGTTGCGTGCACGGGGACTAGTGATGAGCCGGGGCGTATACGTTTCGGAGAAGAGGTCGATCAAGTCGGTGAAAAAGTCGCCTATGCTGTTTGATGGCTGTTGTGCAGAGAAGAAGGATGTGTCGATTGAGAAACAGTAGATGCCAATGTCGCCGTGGTTGAAACAGTGCCCATGAAGATGCGAACATACTCAAAACCAATGGCTGCCAAATCGAAGTCGAACATAATCCTATTACTGAACGCCGACAGCGGCACGGGGTCCAAGGCTACTCTGACTGCTATGCGCAGAGTTTTCGGAGTCTAAATTACCGGAACTATTCGAGGCGCTGCCTGTCAGACTGCGAACTTGGGTACGAGACTTGGGCGGGTAGAGATTGCTCACCCCAGCGTGTTGTTCAACCTGTTGTGGTGCCACGGCGTTTCCCATACCGGGAGGATGGCGTGGTGCTGGCTGCCTCATGCCGGGAGGCGATGGACGACCGTTCTGAGGGGGCATTCCGTTACCGTTGGGCGCATACCCGTTTGGTGGTGATGGCCGGCCCATGGGTCGCGGGCCGGGACTAAGGGGATTGCCAGGTGACTGGCTCATACGACGAACGTTTGCGACAGGAGCAGGGTAAGCACCGTAACCGCCACCTGAAAGCTCATCTAGGCGTGCGGATGTCAGTGAGTTGGTCCTCGACTGTGCGCCCATGGCTCCACGATCAACAGCTCCGTAGCGGTCGGACGAATAGCCCATGAGCGGGTTGTTCATGATGGAGTCATGTAGACCAGGAACGTCCGCCATCAACCGAGCACTACTCCGATTCTTATTTGCTCCTGGACGCGAAAATGGGTTCCTCGGCGCCCTTGATTGCATGGGATTGAAGCCCCCATCAGGGTTCTGGCGAATCTGCTTGGCGCTAGGTGCTGAGCGGTTGCGACGAGACGTTACGCTCATCATATCAAAGTTTTCGGGGTCGATCATGGGCCCGCTGCGGCCGCCCATAGGGTCGAAGAAGTCATCGCCATCGTCGTCGTCGTCATCGAAACCGGCGTTGGAGGGCGGCGGGCGTCCTCGACCGCGGCCCATAGGTCCAGGGCCCATGGGTCCCATAGGGCCTCCTGGACCCGGTGGGCCAGGTGGTCCGGTCGCATGTTCATCTCCTGCTCTCTTAGTTGCAATTCCCTCTGCCTGAGCATTAGTTCCCTTTCTCGAATCGACAGGTTGTTTGACGAATTAGCAGCACTCTCGTAAGGACCACCGTTGATGGCTCCTTCTGGGACCATGTCGTCGTAGAGCATCAAATGAGAAAATTCTTCGAGGTTGCCGCTGTCTTCGCCAAACGAAGGACGTCGTTGTCCGTTTCCGTTCATTCTTGGAGGGTAACCGTTTGGACCAGGGGGTGGGCCCCGGCGCATCATTGGGGGGACTCCGTTGACAGATGGAGCACGACTCCCTGGGCGCGGACCTCCCTTGATTGGGCCATTTCCGTTCATCATGGGCCCTGGGGGTCCACGAGGCATCGGCGCCGATGACATTCTTGGGGGCGGTTGCATACCGTTCTGAGGTGACTGTGTTGAGGGGACAGTTGGGACAGCGGGACGAGTTCGGTTGACAATGTTGAGGTGATGAAGCGTGGCATATAGCGTCTCAATCCTGGGCACGGCGACGCCGGCCTCTTGGGCAAGCTTTAGAGGAGACCCGAGATAGGTCTCAATCTCCATGGGACGCTTAGCCTCAAAGTCCATATACATGGTACTGTTATTTTCCTGAGGACGCATCATCTCTTGGAACGTGGTTTCCCGAAAGTTATCGGGAAAGGTGCAGTCTGAGGCCTTTGCAAGAGCGAGCATTTCGTCGAGCACGCCATTGATAAGAGGTCGCACACCGACTTTCTCTATTAACTCGGCGTGGTTGGGCGTCTCGAATACGACACTGGCAGGGTGGAAAGCGATTGGACTGTATGACGTTAGTTGGCGGTGTGCAACGGAGAGATGAAAAACATACCCTATCATTCGCTCGTACTGCTGTTGTCGTATATTGTGCGATACCTGGCAGTTGACCTGTCCGGAGCTCAACGTCATGGAGAGGGCCTGGGCCATGTCTGACTGAATCTGGGCGGGAATATTTGCGTTCTTGTTTGCAGGACCGACCCAGATGTCGGTGGCGCCCTTGTGTTCGAACTCGCTAGCTCCAAGCTGTGAAATTTCTGCTCCGGATACCAGTGAAAGCACTACATTTGTGGGGAAACGCTGCTCGAGATATGATTCGACGCCTAGACTGTGTGTGGTGTTCATAAGGATGCACGTGTGCTGAGGAGAAACGACCGACTCGATGATGTTGGCGATATCGTATACATCGGGTAGGGCTTTTACGCAGAGGAGGACGTAGTCAAAAGGCTGCTTGGAAGAATGGGCGGCATCTTCGGGGGTGCGTACGACTGCGGTGAGGGTTAGCTGGGTTTCATGGGGCAGAGGGCGGCTTGACATACCAGCATGAGGCTTGAAGCGCTCATTGCCATATAGCTGGGATCTGGAGCGGGTCAGTGGCTATGGCCGGAGATTGAGGTGGGCTTCGGCCTACTTGAATGATATGCCGTACTGGGCGACGCTCTCATATCCAGACTTCCAGACAAGGGTGACGTCGCAGGCATTCGTTGCTTGCAGTCGCCACGATAAGAAGGCTGAGACGGCATTACCGCCCACTGTTGATGGTCAGCAATTGCTCACTGGGACGGAAGACAGCTAGCGTAGAATAGGCAGAAACACGGGCTTGAGGGGTGCAAAGCATGCGAGAGTATTTAAAGAGCGTGCAAAGGCATGCGCTGGGACTCGTAGCATAGTGACGCACCTGAGAGAATGCGTAATCGGGGCACAGCTGGAGCCATGTCTTTGGTGGGTCGGGAAGGTTGTCGAGGGCAGGGCGGCGGCGGCGGAGGGTAAAGGGCCCAAAAGTTGTGGATGGATTGGGGGCTCGGTGGTAGCGTAAATGGTGTGCAACAAGACAGGGTAGGTGAGGGGAATTATCGATTAAGATAGTAGCGGAAACGAGTGTGCGCGAGGCCGAGAGAGGATGAATCACCTGGACGACTCGAAACAGATCATTAAGAGAGAGGCGCGGGTTCGGAGCGGGAGTGCACAAGGTACAAGGCAGCAGGAAGAACAGCGGTGGGTGGTGAGGGAGACGGTGACAGTGCAGAAAGCAAGAGGACGGAGGCAACGACTACTGCAATCGGGCCAGCGTGGGGAGGAGCGCACGGCTGAAGGCGGGTTCCACGGCAGACTCTGGTGCAAAAGCGAGCGGACGCTGGCAGCAGAGATGCAGAGTGGAGTGAGGGCGATGGAGGTGTTGAAGACGGGCAGGGAGGTTGAGGGCCGATGCGCTGCCTGCCAGCGCTTTTGCTTTGATATCCCGCTCACTGCCCAGTACCCAGGTCTTCAACTGGGCGCGACTAGAGAGCTTTGGGCACAGGCCTTGTTACTTATCACTCGCATGTGCCTGATTATTTATGGGCGGGGGCCGTGCTGTCTTCCCAAGGTTGTTTTTGCTTGATTCATTAAAAGAGAACATGCAACCTGAACCTGCAGTCTGCACTGGTGCGGCTGGCGAGCTGGCACAGTGCAGCCGATGCGACAAGCCATGGGGAACCACGGGGCGCTTGACGCCTGCGAACAAGACCTGTAACTGTAACCTGTGTCTACAGCTGTCAATTCTGGCCGTCGCGGCCAAAAGCGCGTCGGGCGCCGAAGTCAAACTTCGCACGTCTGCCTACTACGTATACCGCTACTACGTCTTGAGAGTCAGTCTGAAGGGCCCAGGACCAAGATGCTTGCGCGGCACCCCGGCCATGTCGACATGGAAGATCGGCTGCTTGTTTTGGACCGGCCCACAGCGCCCACGAAGATCAAAGGTAGGCGACAGCAAGCCTATCACGAAAACCGGCGTGCACAGCTGGGCGCCGTGGACATTTGGCGTTCTTTCGTGTCTCTTGTATTATCAACATCTTGTCTGCATCATTCAATGTATTTGCCTTCTGCTGGTCGACCATGTACGGTATGTCGTCGCCCACTGTCACGACTGCATACTTACGCGCCCTCTCCCGCTACACCCAAACAACGCGCGCCGGCCTGCTCGCTATCGTCGGACGGCCGTCAGCGCGAGTCCCAGGCTGTGCTATGCTAGCCGGCCAATGGCACTAGACGGCACTGTAGCCAAAAGGTCCACGCGTCTGACGTCGTCGACTCTGGACGGCCAGGGTCAAACGAAACCAAACTAAACACGCCCGACGCAGACGCAGACGCAGACGCCCATTTCTCACCGTCGAACTGAGGGCCGTGCGACCGCTGTCCGTCCGCAGCCGTGGTCGACTTGCTTGTCAACGGTAGACGGCCGCTGCAAATCCTCCAAAAGGGGCTCAAAAATACGAACCCACCCCGCTGACATAGGGCTGCTGTTGCTGCTGCCTTCACTGAGCACTCTCAGTCCAGGCCCTTGCCAAGCAACAGCTGCGGCCTCGTCTGCCACCACTGAACAGCGCATAAGCAGCACAGTAGCGCGTGGGTCCTGTTGGACTTGTTGAAGCACTGCGGCGCAAATACAAGCAGAGCCTACTGCGAGAGCCGCCGTTCGGCCCGGCGCCACGACCATGAAATATTTCGTATGAAGCACGGCTCGACTGGCTTCCCGCACCCGAGCCGCGTCTGCGCTTGCAAAAAATGAGACCAGAGCGGCGGAAATGAAAGCCAAACCATGTGCCGACACGACATGCCAGACACGCTGCTGAGGTTGAGGTTAAGCACAATATCACATCTATTGCCGCCACACCTTAAAACGCCACCGTGTCAGTCGGTCGCAATCATTAGTCTATCTCCTGACCGACAACTCCATCTTGCCGCCGCGATAGGACATGTTGCCAAGACCCGACACATTCATTGCGCATCATCACCGCCTCTGTAGCAATGTAATCTTCTCGACTCTTGCATCTAGAAATTGTAATTGTAATCCCATCATTTCACTCGTGCGCCTCATCCGAACACCGAACCTTCGCTCTTGCACTTGCACTTGCACCCTTACTCTGAGACCCACACACATGGAGATCTCGCTTGGCCGTCCATGGCAATGCCTCTTTCCTCCAGACCACGCTCGCACTCGCTCTTTCTCCTATTCCTACGCAGCCTTGTTTTGGTTTGACCGTGATAGTGAGGTCATGTCAGCGCACCTCGCTCGCCACGCATCCCACTCTTACCTCTTTACACACTCCCTCGTCATTCCGCAATACCTTCCAGCCCACCCTCCGCCCTCCGCCCTCCTTTTACTGCCCCAAGTGCTTACCATCCAAGCCTACTCAAGTTTTGTAGCCTCGTATTTGCATTAGCCCGCCGTTGAATACGGTCATTGGGAGGAGCTAACCGCGTAAACGGGACATGACGCTTCGGACCAAAACCTATGCGTCCTGCGTTTGTCGAGAGGTCGCGTGTTATACACAAGGTACAGGCCAACTTGTGTGTCTTCCTCGTATCCACAGCAATCAGATGCCGCGCTAACACGCCGCATAAATACCATCGAGTACCATGGGAAATGAAAATTGCGATTTAGCGGGGCCGCTTTGCACCTCACCATCCCAACCTCTTAATTCGGACGGTGAACCATATTCGGACGCAATGTTTTGCAAGGCACAACTGCTCTTGAAATAGAAGCACTCTGCATCTACTTACTGTACACGTCTTGAACATTGCTCCGCACCACTGCATATGGGCTGCACAGCTTTCTCCCAACTCCATCTCATGCATCTTGCAATCTGCAATATCGAGCCACGACTCTGGACGCCTCAACACTTGTCGAATCAACAAACTCTGTGGCTTCATTCTTCCGACACGTTGCACACCATGTCTTATTTCTTAATCTCTACTAACCTCTTCCGAAGTCCGCCCTCGCGCGTGCTTCGGAGCGACCCCTCCACCAAGCGAGTCACTTCAGTCCTGGTCCTGTGCCTGACAGGTGGCGCCTGTGCGGGCCGGCAATGTGCGCTGCTGCCGGGATGCCGCTGTCGATCTCCACAAAATGGGTCGCTAGGTTTTACCGCGACAGACACTGCCGGTATCGAAATAGAAGCACGATAGAAATCGGTTCATGTTGAGCCCCGACTTTGTGGGCTGCTCTCGCCATGCATGTAAAGCAGGCGTCCGACTTTTTCTTCCCCGCACGCTCCAGCGGCCGAGCATGTACCCCTCCCAACCTATCGTTATCTCTCTGACCGGCTAAACGAATCCAATAACTTTGCCTCTCACAACATGGCTCTACAATGCCTACTATCGCAGCTTCTCCAATCGCATTGTTCCGAAGCCTTCCACGGACTGGTTCGCTTGCTCGGTACTATACACAGCCGCTCCTTTTCACTCTGCGACTATGTCTCAACCCCTCAAGTTTCCTTGCGGGCGACATGCAGGTACAGCTACGGAGCCGCCGTTAACGGGCGTGCACAAGCGAAATGAGTTTACGGAGTCTTGCAGCTACCTCAACAGGCATCCTGCCAACTTCTTGTCTCTTGGCTCAGGGCGCCTAACAATGCACACGGAAGTTTGGATAACACACTGTATTATACTGTTATTTTCTTACCCTTCTTTTGATCGCCAGCTGAAAGCCTTACTTACGCGAGGAATAATCTCGTATTCCAATCAGACAGCCCAACGAATCCAAACGCTTAGCTGATTGTCGAATACGAGATTACCGTTTTTTCTCCATGTGTACTCATATCCGCTGGCAACACACCCAGCTCATCCGATTTGCTCAGCTTCCTGTATCCGACCCACTTTAGTATATGCATGTCCCAGGGGAAAAAAGATGCCCGTTCCAGTCGTGTGATGACGTTGTCAGCAATGACGAAACTTCCCACACCCGACGTGCAGGCATAAAACGGATAACTCCTTCGCAAGGGTGCCCCTCACTAGATGATGAAAATAATGAAATGGGCGGGTGAAACCTTGTGAACTACTCTTTGCACGCGTGTCTGGTCTTGGCAAGATCCCCCCACGTGGTTTCCGGGGTGGTTCCTCCTTCCTGCAGTATCACGTGTCGAATGTAAGACAGGTCTATCGGACTTTCATCAGCAAGACGCGTTTAATACACGAAGACATTATAACTATATGCCACATGCCTTGCCCACAGCGGCGGCAACCGTCATCTCGGAGTAACACGTACTTCCTACTCATAGTACCACGTATACACACACACATACACTACTCAAGAATAGCACCAGAGTATCATCAGCGAAAAGAAAATTACACAGCTTTGTAATACACAGCCTTGGCTTCTTACTATACACCCCCCTCCCCCTCCCCGCCCCACTGTTCCGTCTTGTAAGAAAGAAGCTTCAAGTAACCTCATGTTACTGCACCATACACGTGATCATTTCGGATCATCATATGCGACAACGATCACTCCGCCTCTCAACGTACTCATGACAATTCCATCAAAAAACTAGGTCATACCATGGTGTACTACATACACCAAACCAACCCGCGCTGCGCCTTCTAAGCTAGACGTGATACGAGTGAGCAAAGTAGAGGTTGAAAATATGTGTGCCACGATTTTCCTTGATATTACAAAGAGTATGGAAAATGGATTTTGTATCGCTGATTGCGAGCGAGGTCTTCTACGCCGTGATCGGATCGGATACGGTTGAATTGAATTTGATATTTATTTAAATTATACGCCGATTATCATCACAACCTGTAAACATAGCTGAACGGTACGGTAGTTACACTCTTGTGCAAAGTTCGTTGGAATGTATACGGAGTGAGGAAGTCTTGTGTTTTTATGACAGCCAGTGGAAAGGAAAAGTGGTCTGGGCATGAGACGGAGACGCAGACTTGTAGAAATGTGAATGTGTAACTGACTGGACGTTGTTGATTAGCAAACAAATCTAGCTAGTGATGGACGCGTTGAGTTTAAATGTCATCTTCGTTTGACACTTCCTACGCACAAACGCCAGAGATGTATAACATATCTTGTACACAGCAACATCACAATCACATGCAAACCAAGTTACCAGAGAACATCATCATGAGTGGGACCAGATTACAATTTCTTCCCTTTCCTCTCAGCGAGGTTAATCAGCATTCAGCTGCCTGGAAAACACGGAAAAGAGAAGACAGGAACAACTCCAAGAACCACCTGCGCCGTTTCCGAACATCTAGGCTACGTTGCAAAGTGATCCTACCTTCCTTGCCTTTGACGAGCAGCATCCCTTTTCAAAGACCACCCATCTCCCAACATGACCATGAATTTTGTTTGAACCAGAACGCAGAACAAGAAATAGCCTCCGTAAAAGCCTTCCATCGTCTTTCGAGTTAGCCAAACTAGTTGTCCATGTATGTGGCCGATTCGATGCCGTTTTCGGGGAACTCGGGAAGCTCGACTTGGAAACGCTCCTCAATTGACTTGAGAACGGCCTCGTCATCTGGGCTGCTCACAAAGGAGATACTAAGTCCCTTGGTTCCGAAACGACCGGCACGACCGACACGGTGAAGGTAGGCATCAGCCTTGTCGGGCATGTCATAGTTGATGGCGACGTTGATACGCTCGACATCGATACCACGACCGAAGATGTCAGTGGAGACACAGATACGGGTCTGGAACTCCTTGAACTCCTTGTAGCGCTTGATTCTGGGAATTGATTAGCACCGATCAAGCAATGATAATGATACCTATACATACCGCTCTTCTTGGCTGATACCAGAGTGGACCGCAGTGCTAGGGAAGTTGCACTCGCGAAGAAGCTTGTCAAGCTCCGAGCAGCGGAGAGTCGAACGGACGAAGATGATGACTTGGTTGAACTCCAGGCTGTCGAGAAGGTCGTTGAGCTTACGGTTCTTCTCCTTCTCGTCAAGCTTCATGTAGTACTGCTGCAGACCGTGGAGTGTGAGTTTCTTCTCATCGTCGACGTAGATCTCGAGCGGGTTCTGCATGAACTTCTTGCAGACGACTCGGACATCCTTGTTAAGGGTGGCTGAGAACATCATGACCTGCTTGTGCTGGGGAGTGGCGCGGAAGATGGCCTGGACGTCGTTGCGCATGTCTGAAATGAGTCAGCGCGGTGTGGATCGCATTGAAGAGAGGCACTTACCTGGCTGGTCGAGCATCTTGTCACACTCGTCGAGGACAAAGTGCTTGAGGTTGGCAAGGCGAAGATGCCTGTCGCGGACGAGAGCGTTGATACGACCGGGCGTTCCGACAATAATGTGCGGGTGGCTGTCCTTGTTGCTGAGGAGCTCAATGTCCTTTTGAACGGGTGTACCTCCGTAGAACACGCCGACCCTAACCTCGGGCAGGAACTTGGCGAAGCGGTTGTACTCGTTGCGAATCTGGTAGGCCAACTCGCGAGTGTGGCACATGACTAGGATGGTTGCAGCACCGGCCTCTGGCTTCTCGTCCATCTGCTGGAGAGTAGCGAGCACGAAGACGGCTGTCTTTCCGAGACCGGACTTGGCCTGGCAGAGGACATCGTTTCCTAGGATGGCCTGGGGGATGGTAACCTTGTTGGACTGTAGGGCACAATGTATGTCAGAATGGGTCTTGAAAGTGGTCGAAACGAAGCGTGGGGAGCGAAGCGTCCGTCCATCTGGTGTAGCCAAATTCCCTTCTAGCGCGCGTGCTAGTCTGTCTATCCCCCGCATTCTCCCATGAGCGCCTCCTCTTATGCATGCATGTCCTCAACCCAAAGTGAGTTGTTGCGCCGCCTGGTGCCACTAGGCCTCTTGATGCAATTACTGGTGCGCCCGCAATTAGATGCGGTGCGCTCCAAGGCTCGTATGTGGCGGAAGGCACTGGGTCCCTCGCCACTTCGCTCGTATATAGACAGACCATAGCCGCTTGATAGACACCGCTCGTATCGTAGATGGACGGACGCTTATAGGTGGATAAGGCTGAGGGGAAATAATTAACTAACCCTCGGAAGGATGTTCGAAGCCACAATCCGTGATCGCTCGGACGAGCTCGTCTTTGAGCAGGAAGTCGCGGAAACCGGTGGAGTGGATGCCGACATAGCTGCCCTTCTTGTCGCCTGCAGCTTCACCAGCGGTGAGGTCGGCCTTGGTCGCACCTGCGGCGCCGTTGGAAGGTATCTCGGTGGGCTGGATCTCCTCGTCGGAGTAGTCGATGAGGTCTTCCTCGTGAGACATGGTGAAGTTGGTGATCGATTTGACCTTGGTGGGCTTTGCAATGGTAGTTGCGCGTGTCGCAAGCAAGGCTGCGAGATGAAGCGAAGTAGTAGAGTCGCGGGGACGCGCGAGATTATGCTAGAGAAGGCTACAAAGAGGGTATCAGTATTGCTTTGTGTCCTCGCGTGCACGTGAGGTCAAAGGCGAATAAAGCGGCGAAGGTGAGTGACAGCGGTAGAAGAGCGGTCGCAAGCTGGTGATGTCGAGGTTTACCAAGCTCGGGCCATCCGGCTGGGCGTCGCGCTAGACCGCAAACGGCACCTATGATTCACAACTAATGGGTCGGAGCAGCGCCGCGACATCTCCCCACATGTCTCCCATTGTCTGACACTGGAACGCCAGGGCTAGGCGCACATGGGCGTGCATATACACTGAAAACGGGCGATTATATTACTCATCTCCTCGCATTCCTGCTCACAATTCAACGCTGCTATATTTTTGCTAAAAGAGCAAGCACGACATCATGAGCAAAGTCAAACCGCCAAAGTCCAAGGGCGTCCCAAACAAGCATCTGCATGTTCGTTTGAGCTACCTCTATCAGGCAGCCACGTATCTCACTTTGCAAACCACGATACAAGACACAATCACGACTGGTGTTGCCCTAGACGAACAAACTGATTCTCATGATACGGCCAAAACTCAGAGACAATCACCACTTGCGCTAGAGCTCGGGTCAGATATCCAACAGGTGTCACGAAAAGGCCAGCTGCGGCTTGCTGTTGACTTGAAGCGCTCCATGTGCAAAAGCTGTAACGCTGTTCTTATCCCTGGGCGTACTGCGACTCAAGTCATCGAAAATCTCAGCAAAGGCGGCAAGAAGCCTTGGGCAGATGTACTCGTTGTTACATGCAATCTTTGTGGCGGCAAGAAGAGATTTCCGGTGGATGCTAAGAGACAGCTAAAGAAGGCTAAGAGGAGGACTGTTCCTGTTGCTACCACGTCGATTACCGCATCAGAGGAAGACCTATGTTCAGTCACGACAGTACCTACAGGGTCTGAGTGAAGATTGATCATGGCCCCCCTGAGCCCTATTATTCATTATATATATGCGAATACCCTTGGTGGGACTGTATGATTTTCCGGACAAGCTGGGTTTGTTCCTTGAGACATTACAATATTTCGTAGTAGGAAATCAGTTCTGGCAATTCCCGGCACATTAGGTTCTTTTCTCGTCGACATATCGGAATCAGGAGACTTCAGTCTTCGGATATCGATTCCATCATGAGGACAACCTATGGAAGCATTCTGGGGATCGTTTGATGACGAAGACGATGCTCTGTGATTGGGCGTGTCCTCACCGTCCTCTTGGGAGAGAAGATAAGGCTAAAACGATTCAATGGCTTCTTTCGTTATTCGAGGGCCAACACTCACAATGACAAAGAGCCATCGTACATCACATAGACAGAAAACGCAATTATCGAAGGAAATACTTGGTATCATAACTCGAGTGATATGAGAGACAGTAAAGTAGGAAAATATCCACCACTCGCTGTTACTAAACTCTGAACCGTATCTACCTAGACAGTCTCAATGTACCGTCTAACCTCCCAGTCCGTAACCGCCTCGTCCCAGAGACGGATCTCGTGCTGTCTTGAGCCGCCAAAGTGGTCGACGAATTCATCACCAAAGACTTCTCTTGCTATGCTCTCTTTGCGCATAAAGCGCTCTGTCGCTTCTTTCAAGCTCTTCGCTAGCCGCTCGCCCTTGTCTGCTGTACTACCGACATCCTCGCCCTTGCCTAGCGGCGGAATGCCTATCTCCATCTTCTTCTCAATTCCTCGCCAGCCGAGAGCTAGAATAGCTGCGAGCACAAAGTGTGGGTTTGTATCGGCGCCAGGGACGCGCACTTCGAAGCGCGTTGCCTTGGGGGATGCGGTAGGTGGCGCAATCAGACGGATGGATGCTGCGCGATGCTCAAGGCCCCATGATACTGTGACTGGTGCCCAGAAGTTCTCTACCAAACGCTTGTAGCTGTTGACGTTTGGCGCCAGAATGGGCATGATATCCGGAAGACCGTCGATCAAGCCTGCTAGGAAATGCCTTCCCAAGTCTGATAGGTATCGGATATCTGAGTATAGGGCGTTCTTGTCCTCTTCGCCGCGGGCAAACAGGTTCTTGCCCTCCTTGTCTACGATGGATACGTGCATGTGGCCACTGTTTCCGGGAAGACCTTCGCGCGGTTTCGCCATGAAGCATGGTGTTATGCCGAATTTGGATCCGAGAGACTTGACCACGAGCTTGAAAAGGGACGCCCTGTCCGCCATCTGTTGGATCTCACCAAATTCGAGGGCCTGTCACGTATGTCAGTCTCGTCATATTTACTGCCAGAATAGTGTGGGAGCTTACGGCCTCAAAGACACCGGGCCCAGATTCGGTATGCCATCCTTCAATTCCACACCTGAACTTTGCGCATGTGTCAAAGATACCATAATAGTATTCTTGGTTGTGGACGGGTCGCGTGATACTGTATCCGAACATGCCCTCTGTGAGACTTGGTAGCGAGGTTACAGCGTTGTCGCGCAAGAAGGCAGCGGTGCTCGAAGTGTTTCTCTCAGATCCATCATGGCTCTGGGGCGCGCGGAATTGGTAGAACTCGTATTCAGCTGTAATGACACATCAGCTTCATGGACAGCAGTACATGCTCTTCCAATAGCACCAAACTCACCTCCGGCCATGGCACCGTAGCCATTGTCCTTCAACTTGTCCACGGCGCGTTTCAAGAGACTCCTCGGGCATGCGCTGAGGGTGGACTTTGTGTCGGGATCGTGGAAACTGATGAGGAAGAATGGCACATTGTTTTCCCATGGTATCCTCCTGTATGACGACAGATCTGGTACAGCAATCAAGTCGCGATATCCGTTCTCCTTGTTCGATATGGCCAGTTCCTTGAAATATGTCTGATCATGCATATCCCAGCCAAAGATGACGCTGCAGAAGCCAAAGCCTTCATTCGCTATGCTAAGGAACTTCTTCTTCGCCATAAGCTTCCCGCGCAAGATGCCATCGACGTCTATGCCTGCGACTTTGACTGCGAGGTCATCTTTGAGGAGCTCAGGTAGTTGCTCGGCGGTCAAAGTGGAGGGGTCGAAGTCGGACATGGTTTGTATGATTGGAAAGAGCGTAGGCTATGGAAGCTTGTTAGGAGGACGAAGTTAAACTGTCAGATGCGTCGTGAAAAAAAGACACGATCCACAGCGCAATCAAGTTTCCGACGGGTGGAGGAGAGCTGGCTGAAGACGGTTGGATGCGATAGAGCTCGGACCAATGAGGGGTGATGGGGTACGGGCTGGGATGCAAGTAACGACATCATAGCAAACGACGTGCATGCGCGGCCAGGCTATATATTACAAGTTTCGTAAGGCTGCTATCTTCTCTTACGCGACACCTTGTGCAGCCCCAAAGCGACAAGATAGCCCTCCGATAAACTCCCTACGCGACAGCCGTGAAGATGCGCCAACCTCACCCACTAAGCCTTGCGCCACCCCTCATGGTGGGGTAATATCATACCCTGTTCACTCATAACGGGCGTTTCAAGCCTGCGTGTCGCGTGCAACCCTTTGCTGCTATCGTGTACTCGGCACGCCCACCGCTTGATTTCAGTCACGGGTCCAGAGGGGGCAGCGGCCAACGCGATTGTGCCCTTATCATGGTCTATCAATGCAATGGGCCGATTTCGGCACCCTTGATTGTCTGAATGACCTACTCTGTCCGAGACTACCCGTCCCATTCTCCCTTCTTTTCGCACTCTCAAGCCCGGCCACGTTCTCTCATACGCCGGTTCGCACTCAAAAGTCCGATTTAAGGGTGAGTGGAGTCGCATTCGAAGCCCCGTTTACGGTTTGGCAAACCTTCCCCGTTGACACGGCCGCCCGCTGTTCTTATGACGCTTTCTCTAGTAAATTATTAGTCATACCTTCACCAGGCTATACAAAACTTTGTCTTGCGCTGCTTTTCCATTGACCCCTTTGCAGCATCTGCTTTACAACTTTACAACTTTGCAACTTCACCTGAACAATACCGAGACCAGACAATCAACATGGGCCGTCTTGAAGGCAAGAACTGCATCATCACTGGAGGCGCTGGGTAAGCACGGACCTGCCTATACTCTATCACGTTCCCTACCATCGTTTTCATATACAATAGATTTCTTTCTTAAGAAATGGTGCTATTGCTATCTTCGAGTTGGCATAGTCTGCAGAATCTTCCTTTGTTCTCTCGGCGTTGGTTTTGGGTCTCAATGCTGTCATCTTTGTTCCCATATGCGGAGATACACCGTACACAGATTCACGGCACATGACGTAGCTGCTTACTGACTTTGTACAGTGGAATTGGTCTCGAGACTGCCATTCTGTTTGCTCGGGAAGGCGCCAATGTCCTCCTTTCCGATATCTCCGGTCCAGCACTGGAGAAGGCTGCGGCCAAGCTGAAAGAGGTAGTGCCGGAGGCTAAAAAGGTCGAGACCAAGATTACCGATGTCTCCAAGGAGGCTGATGTCAAGGCTATGGTCGAGCATGTGGATTCATGGGGCGGTCTTGATGTCTTGTTCAACAACGCAGGCATCATGCACGCAGACGACGACGACGCTGTCAACACACCAGAGAAGATCTGGGACTTGACTCAAGCCATCAACGTAAAAGGTGTATGGTTTGGTTGCAAACACGCCGTCAACAGCTTCAGGAAGAACGGAAAGAAGAAGACGAGTGTCATCAACACAGCAAGTGTGGTTGCACTAGTGGGTAGTGCAACACCGCAGCTCGCATACACAGCCAGCAAGGGCGCTGTACTTGCGATGACAAGAGAGCTGGCCATGGTCCACGCACGTGAGGGTTTCAGGTTCAACGCGCTATGCCCGGCACCACTGAAGTATGTCCATGGATGAATGTCGTCTTCACTGTAGATACTAACAACGACAGCACTCCTTTGTTGCAAGATTGGCTTGGCGATGACCAAGCTAAGCGCCACCGTCGCGAAGTCCATTTCCCAACCGGTCGATTCGGCGAGGCCGTCGAGCAGGCTCAGGGTGTCCTCTTCCTTGCCAGCGATGAGAGCAGCTTTGTCAATGGTACCGACTTCGTTATCGATGGTGGCATGACCAGATGTTACACCACTCCTGATGGACCACCTACTGAACCACCCAAGAACAACGCACAATAAGTGTGTATAGGTGGGGATCATGATGAATGAACGATTTTATTTAGCCTTTACGATAGACAATACAATTAAAATACCCAACACCCACACTCAGACACCCGTGAAGTAAGAGTCCGCATCGTGATTAATTCTCGTATATCCATCTACAGTGAAGTCAAGCCGCGACTCATGCGTCAGTCACGAGGGATGCATCTTGACCAATGTTGAACCCAGGCGACGTCTGAGTGGCTACGGGACTTGTTCCACTACAATCAACACATTTCGTACATTGCCTAACAGAGAGGCTGAAAACTAGCAAATTCGTAGTTTCCATTCGCTCGGCCATGTTTGACCGAGTTGAAGATGGAATTTGGTCGAGTTGAGAGGTGTGGTGATTCGCTCCCGCAACGCTTGTAGCTAGGGTTCAGATGACCACGCATTCAGGGACTAGGGTGTTACGGGAAAGTCTTGGGAGACACGCGAGATGTGGCCTGGCCAGCGCCCATTAGCAACATGGATCGTATTACTGCGAGCGCCGACAACGACTTCAATGTTGCGTTGTATGGCACGCTTTGGATAGCCGCTCTTTCTTTGATTTGGTTTACTTGCCGTGCAGACCCTGAAGAGCCTGTCAAGTATGTTGTCGAGACGCCTGAGCAAGCCGAGAAGGGATGGAAGGGTGAGGTGCTTGAGAATCCTGGATTGAAGGTATACAGCATTCCTAATCTGAATGGTGATGATAGCCGCTGACTTGGATAGGTTTCTGGATCCCACCTCATCCAATGCTATGCCCCCGCGACTGGCGAAGCCCTCGGGCGCGTCAACCCCTCCACGGCCGACGGCATTGACCGCGCGATTGAGAAAGCGAAAGCTGCTCAAGTGAAATGGGCCGAAACAAGCTTTCTTCAGCGCCGTAAAGTACTGCGCACTATGCTCAAGTTCATCCTGGAGAACCAAGAGGCAATTGCGAGGGTTGCGTGCCTGGACTCTGGAAAGACCATGGTGGACGCCAGCTTGGGCGAGATCTTGGTTACGGTGGAAAAGTTAAGATGGACTATCAAGCATGGTGAGAAGAGCTTGAAGGCGGAGAAGAGGGATACCAACTTCCTCATGATGTACAAGTCGAATGAGGTTGTTTGGGAGCCACTTGGTGTAGTTGCGGCTTGTGTGAGCTGGAAGCGAGTATTGAATCCAGTCAACACGGAATCACTCAGCTAACGTCGATACAGCTATCCGTTTCACAACCTCATCAGTCCCGTCATAGCCTCAATCTTCGCCGGTAACGCAATCATTGTCAAAGGTTCCGAAGCCACCGCTTGGTCGTCCTCATACTTCGCCTCAATCGCTACTCAGGCTCTCAAAGCATGTGGTCACCCGCCCGATATCGTCCAATCTGTCGTCTGCTGGCCTGATGTTGCTGATCATCTTACATCCCACCCCGAGGTCTCCCATATCACATTCATTGGCTCGCGACCAGTAGCACACCATGTCTGCGCATCGGCAGCGAAGGCACTGATACCAGTATGTGTCGAGTTGGGTGGTAAAGACCCGGCAATAGTGCTGGATGACCTGTCCAACAGTGACTTCAAGCGCGTCGCTAGCATCCTCATGCGAGGTACCTTCCAGTCTGCAGGACAAAACTGCATTGGCATTGAGCGAGTCATTGCGCTTCCGAACGTCTACGACCGTCTCATCGAGTACCTCACACCGAAGATACGCGCCCTCCGCCCCGGATCTATACTCAACAGCTCCTCAGACACACCCATCGACATTGGCGCCTCAATCTCCGACGCGAGTTATTCCAAGCTCGAAGATCTCATCCAGGATGCTGTCAAAAACGGTGCTCGCCTTCTAGTCGGAGGAAAACAATACGCTCACCCTGACTTCCCCAAGGGCCACTACTTCACACCCACCTTCATAGCCGACGTAACCCCCTCGATGAAAATCGCCCAAACCGAACTCTTCGCCCCAGTCTTCCTCCTCATGCGCGCCGAATCCGTTACAGACGCCATTACAATCGCAAACAGCACGTCCTACGCCCTCGGCTCCTCCGTTTTCGGCTCTTCCAACCGCGATCTCGAGCTCGTCGTCCGCTCCCTTCACGCAGGCATGGTGGCCGTCAACGACTTTGCAGTCTACTACATGGTGCAGATGCCGTTTGGCGGTACAAAGGGCAGTGGCTATGGTCGCTTTGCTGGCAAGGAGGGATTGAGGAGTTTGTGCAATCAGAAGAGTATTACGAGGGATCGGTGGGCATGGGCGGGGATTAAGACGGGGATTCCACCGCCGATGGATATTCCGTTGAATGGTGCGGGTGCTGGGGAGAAGGCGTGGAATTTCGCACAGGGCATTGTTTGGTTAGGATATGGGGATTTGAGGGGGAAGACTAGGGGGTTGAAGGGGTTGATGGGTATGAAGTAGAGAGTGGGATGGGGTGTCGTGAACGATGTGGCTATATGTGTAGATTGTATTTTAGGGCGTATATTGATTATATGCTAAAGAGTATACTTAGCAACGGTTGCTTGTTGTGACTATTTACAATCCTCCTCTTGCAGACCAAATTTTGATTGGTAGTATCAGCAGATACACAAGGCCTCTTCGCCTGGACTGTGTACCGTAGAAAGCTGGATTGTTCGGAGTCTCAGCATCCATCTAGTCCACACACGTCTTGTTGCTGCGCTCTCTGGACTTCATTTGGAGGCCTCAATCAGGGCTGTAGTACCCTCGGTCGTACAGACTCGGTACGTCGTAATCGAGCAGCATATAATTCCGCCCATGGCCTTGATCAAATCTTCCACTCTCACAGACCAACCATCACACCCCCTCACCTTCACCCTTCTCGCTCTTCTCCCCCTGCACAAACAACTCCTCCACCAACCCCACAAACAACTCCATCGCATCCTTCTCCTCCCCACTCGCCTGTGCACCTCTCATTTCCTTCAGCACCCCCATCGCATCCTTATCCCCTTTCTTCGGTGTCCACCGCTCCTCCCTTTCATCATGCGCATTCCAGCCTCCCCTCCCACCACCTCTCCCCCTCCCACGCCCTCTTGTGCCCCTTCCCCGAAACGCGTTTCTCTCGAGCATGCGCCGGCGGCGCTCGTCCTCGGGATCTGGCCGTATTGTTTTTGCGTAGACGCGTTGGAGGGCAGGGAGAAGCGCTTGGTTGGTTTTTAGGAGGGATTGGAATTTGGGGTTTGTGGCTAGGAGGGAGAAGTCTCGGCGTTGTTTTAGGTAACGCGGCTTTGGGGTGGGTGGTTGTGCTGGTTGGGGGAGGGTTGGTGAGGTCGTGGTGGGTGGGGGGTTGGATGGGTCGGAGTGTGTGGGTTTGTGGGTTTTGAAACAGGGAAGGGAGCAGCTGGGGGATGGGTGTTAGTGAGGTTCGAGGAAGTGGGTGTGGAGGGTACTTACTATGGCAGCGCGCAGGTTGGGCATTTGTACTTCTTTGGCTCTGTGGCGCAGACGCCGCAGAGGATTTCTGCCATTTTGTGTTGTTTTGTTCTAGAGTAATTATCTGTTTGTTCTGGCGGTATCAGATTGTATGCGCGTGGGAAAATCGCTGTGAAAGTAACGTAGATGGCAGTCGCAAGTTGGAAGGGAACTTTTGGTCGCAAGCCGGAGATGTCTCGTTCCCAAAACGGCTAAATCCCGCGCGAACATCCATTGCTCATCACTCGACCGAAGCGTCTCCACCGAGATATCTGATCCCCCCTCTTCCCACTGACATGTCTACTGCTTACCATTCAGACAGCTGCCTTTGCGACATTTGGATCTGGACTTGCTCCCGCATGCACCCGTTCACTCACTCGAATTACCGCGCGCGGGCAATCCCACTTTCGCTGCACGAAGATGTTTAACACTACAAAGTCTGCGCCCAGAGCGCGGCACCGAGGATGGACCAGATGCATGCGCAGTATAAGATGAAGAACAGGACAGTCATGTGCGCAAATGTTAAACAATTGCGCAGTTTCATTCACGCTAATCAAGATTAAGGAACTATGTTTTTAGTGTAATAGTGGGCTTTGTAGCAATAACGTACGGCTCAGTTCCAATGTACAAAATGGTAGACTTCTCCAAATACTTTCCACCAAAAAAATCTGTCTAACACTGTTGTCACAGATCTGCCAGCAAACCGGCTGGGGAGGTCAACCCATTAAATCCGCAGCCCACGGCGGCGACACCTCCATTGACCCCTCGGAGCGTCTACGACCCGTAGAAAACCACCCAAGAATCCGCATAACATTCAACGGCTCCGTCTCGGACGTGCTACCCTGGAAATTCGTGCCCCAGCAACGCGAAGTGCGCGTCCTCCCTGGCGAGACCGCCCTCGCCTTCTACACAGCGACCAACAAGTCGCCCGAAGACATCATCGGCGTAGCCACGTACTCTGTAACACCGGGCCAGGTGGCGCCTTATTTCAGTAAGATCCAGTGTTTTTGCTTTGAGGAGCAGAGGTTGAATGCAGGAGAGACGGTGGATATGCCCGTCTTCTTTTACATTGATCCGGAGTTTGTTACGGATCCGAATATGAAGGGCATCGAGACTGTGACGTTGAGTTATACGTTTTTCAAGGCAAAGTACGATAAGGATGGGCATTTGAGACCTGTGCCTATGGGGTGAGGAGGGAGATGGGATGTAGGATCTATGTATATCACGTATGTATTGCCAATGAAGAAACTGATACATCTATAAAGATCTATTCGAAAATGTCAATAAAAAATAGATAAATCGACACTGCTCTATGCAATAACCAACATACAAGAAAACAGAAGATCAAAACTAAAAAAAAACTCACAAAAACTCACCTCATCCCCTACAAATCCGACGCCATCAAACCCGTCCTATCATGATACGCCCGCTTCTTCTCATCGCCCAAAACATCGTTCGCGTGGTTGATCTCCGCCATCATCTCCGTAGCCTTATTCTTCATACCCTCTCCACAACGATCAGGATGCCACTTCAAACTCATAGCACGGTGCGCCTTCTTGATCTTAGTCGCTGTCGCTGACCGCGAGAGACCCAGAACAGCGTACAAATCATTGCGCGGCTTGGTACCTTGAAGTGGTGGGGATGGGGGTGGTGAGTGGGCGCGGGAACGGGTGTAGTGGTCATTCTGCTCGGAAGAAGATGATGAAGAGTAGGAAGACGAAGAGTAAGAGGGTGTGCGTGGACGTGCGGTATATGTACGGCGAGGCTGAGGCGGAGGAGGCTGAGATGAAGAGGAGGTATGGGTGTACTCGTAGTGTCAGTCACCCCGTGAATCGCGAAACTCTGCTTGCGGGCGTGGGGCACGTTGTTCAGTGCGGTACTAGGAACGCTCACCACGAGGCACACGCTCTTCAGTGCGGTACTGAGACGACGATCGGCTGTTACGACTAGATCCATTAAAATACGAGTACGAAATAGGAGCCTCGCGCAAGTTAGAGGGAACGCATGTTTCCGTCGCATACCACTGAGACGGACCACGAGTGCTAGGTCTACTACCCTCCGCATCCCCAGAGATTTCGTTCAACATGGCCTTGTAGTCAGCAAAAGGGTCTAATGGACCGCCATCGTAGACAGGGTGAGGCATGTTGACTTGGTGTACTTGCTTTTGGTGAGAGGATGGAGCGTTGGAGCGAGCGTTGAATTGCTTTTGGAAGCTTTCGGGGTAGCTTTGAAGATGCTGTTCAATGGTTTAAGATGTGGTGACTGTGAGAAGTTGCCCTATCATCAATGTGATTGGAGCAACAATATATAATCTGTGTGTAAACTTGGAAGACTACCTACAGGCTTTCAAACAATTAAGATTCATGTTGTTGGTATGTATAGTTATGTTAAACTTCTAGTGCGTGTTGGATGTATAAATATGTAGACGCGAACGAAAGTTCCTTATAGTAGAATACAGTAATCAAAATCTATGCAAATATATAGTAAAACTCGAGTGAATGCGATCTGATGACCAAGAGCCCTGTCATACTCCATCGACTCAGAGATTCAAGTATACATGACTGCAAACGTCCACATCACGGATGAGTATGCGTTGACTCCCATATGACATGTATATATTAGAATAGAGTCATACGGAAACACATATGACTCTAATTTCTATATGATCCCAAGTAGTGTAAGTTGAACAAACAAGATAACAATAAAAGAAGGGTCACGTGACAACGTGACTTTCACAGCCCACCAGTGCTCTGTTGATCCCGCATCGAAGCAGTAATCCGCGGTGACCAGATTCTAGATCCCCAGGATTATACCGAACTGCGGTCTCGCCCGGAGTCTCTTATTTCCGCAGGTGGTTGATGGGCACTACTTCCGTCTTTGACAATAGAGCAGGAAGTGACGAATGCCTCGGACGAGCGGAGCCTGGAGCGCCAACAGCCAAGCTACACCCAAAGATATCTACTCCTGTAACGGTTTTCCCAATCGTGGGGACCCTGCTTTGTCGCTCAAGGTCCCCGGCATCCAAGATTCCCATGCTGCTCCGGCGGTACCTCCAGCCGTAAATGACCTGCATGAGAGATCTAGGGCCAGACGACACCCTTTTCCCCGGCACATGGCTTTGTGGCCTCGGCGTTCTGATAGCGTCGTAAGTTACACAGGTATACCGAGATGAGCGGTTCAAGGCGTGCGCCAAGGCCTCATCCCTTGCTTACTTTCTTTGTTCACATCGGCCACGCCGGCTGGATACAACAACCCCATCTGGAACGATCGCGATGGAAGGGGCAAAATCATTCTAGCTGAGATCCTCGGCGTGTATGTTCGTCATTTTGTTATCTTGTGCAGCTGCTTTGGGCGGAGCTTACCATCGGGGCGGGACATGCAAATCTTGCCTCGTGTTTCAATTCGGCGTTGGTTGTTAAAGACCGCAGGGTTGTCAAAGCTCTCAAAATTTCCATCGATATCAAAACTGGGGTACCACTTAGTCTTGTGTGCGAAGAACAAATGATCGGTTCGTCTCAGATATCGCGCATGAGTTGGTGGAATATATGATGAACATGGAACTAGAAGAGTTAAGAGTGGAAGGACTGACCAGGCCCACCATTTCACGCAGCCAGTCAAGCCCAATACCTTTGAGGAACGATTTTGCCAAAGTCGACATTACGGAGGCTGATGCTTGCGAAAATTGCGATGTTGTTGATGTCAGCACTCTTCCTGGCGTAACACACACGCACCTATCCCACAAACGTCGTTCTGGTAGCACAATCGAAGATTCCTCAACTCGAACCAGGTCATCATCACTAGAAGCCAGCCAAGGTTCATCCGCAACGTCGCCTAGTATCTACACCTTAGACAGCTTCACCAATTTTCGTCCGATTGATGAAAGGGGAAAGTCTTCAACAATCAGCCGCTTAAAGTCATTACCTAAGACAGGCTTAAGCAGACAAAATGTTCCAAGATTCAATGTACAGCCAAGCGACTTTCGCATACCTCCTGAACAGCCAGAGAAGCGCTTCGTTGACGACATTGGAATGATCATCCCTGGGGTCTGTGACCGCGAGCAGTGTGCTGACCCTCGGACACATTTCGTAGCCTCCTTCCGCCTGTGTGAACCCATCGAGTATACGACGGCGTTGGCGGACCACGGCATTACTTATACAGACTACGTCCGCTTAATTGCTGCGCTTTTCAACTTTCTGGAGGACACGTCCAAAGATGCAAGACGGAGAAATCGAGCCAAAGCGGAGGAAGACAGTGGTACTGAAACAGAATCGTCGACACGCGCAAAGAATAGTTTCTTCGACACGACCGAGCAGCTAAAGGGTAGCAAGCAACACGCCGTCACGCTTCACAAACTCCTTGAAGATATCTCTTGGAACTTTCAAGCGAGGGGGGTATCCGTCATGGTTTGCGTCCAGTCCTTTTCGCTTTTCTGGCCACGTCGAATTGCGGAAGCACATATCCAGGTCCTGCATGTGAGACAAGAGCAGGCTCGACGAGAGACGCGGGTATCTGGACCAGTAGAGAAATCCGGAACGCGTATGGGGCAACGACTGTCTTTCATTAATGTCTTTCCACTTGCAAAGTACGAGCAAACGCCCCGACCGAGACTTGAGCGCCAGTCAGTATCTGCGACGACCATGACAACTAAATGCATGCGCGGTCATGACTACCACCATCAACAATCACAAATTCGAGATCGCTCGAGACCCTGTGCTCTCTGGCCCAACGCTATCCCATCCCACAAGTGGCGTATTATGAACGCCAATGTTGATCGCTATGGCGTGGACCCATACTTTCGAGCCTGGATGAGAGCTAGCATCAATTCACGAACGCGATGCACCACTTACGCCAAGTACATGGTCGAAAAGGAAGATGATCCGTTCGTGAACAAGAGGCTAGAATATGCCAATGCCACACTGAAGAAAGACTTGCTCGAGGCGCGCGGTACCCGAGCTTGGAAGGAGCGAACACCTAGTACCGTCAACCGGACTAGGTATGAGCACAATCGAAGATTAGAATGTCGTAAGACGACAGAAAATGGATCGAGGCTGAGGATAGTGCGCTTTGGATTCCGCCATCCAATTTATCCTCCACATACGCCTGAAATGGATACGCTTGGCCTCAGCAAGGATGCTTATCAGACCATCATAGCAGACATTGATAACTTCCATTCGCACGTGCAGCTCAATACGAAATGTCCAGGGTCGTACATGGTGGCATCAGTGAACACGGTGCGGAAGATGGGCACTAATGATGCTTTGATGAAAGTTCGCGAATACCTCCGCCAGCTGAATGCATCGCAGCGGTGTATCGTGTGGACTATTGAGAAGATTCCAGCAGTCTACGACAAAGGCTTCGGACGGAACCGCACGGAATGGGAGATCAGTGCTTGGAACGCGGAGGATCCACTAGAGCTGCTCATACAGCTGGAAAAGTGGGGAATCATAGAGTCCCGGTTGAATCTTGATGATGAAGAATAACGCTGTTGGATGGCCATGCGGGTACTCCACTTAGGAAGCAGTGTAGATGATACCATTGATGATCTGTACCACCGAATGTAGATCTGATGTCTCGGTGTGAAACAATGTGCGGAGGAATGTAATAGTAGAGGTCTGGTATAGAAGCCAACAGCCAGTTAGCGCGGTGGACGGCGCGCTTCCGTTTGATTTGCTCAGCAGCCCCTCCATTACCCCAACATCATGCTCCCAACCCAACAAGAAAGCTAGGGACGCGTGAAACCCAACCTCGACATGGACCTGCTGTATGAACTCGGGACAATTCACGGTATCTTCGGCGGTAGCTTTGTCATGATTGCGGGGCACATTCCGAAGCTATCGTAAACACTCATGGGCGAACGTGACTCGGCCCGTCTACTTCAGAGTGAAACCAGGCCTTCCAGTCGACGGCTGACTACTGCGCGTTCCTGCCAAAGTTAAAGTACCGGAACCGGATACTCTCAAGTTCCGGGGCCAAGTTTAGCTTATGAATAGGTGCCTTGGGAGAGCGCGATTTCAAAGCAGCAGTGTATGAGAATAATGTGGGGCCCTATAGCCGCATCATAGCCATGCAAGATCACGTCTTTGTTTGGTACATATAGTCCTATGTACCTTACTTGTAGGAAGACAGCAAGTATTCTATCGTCCCATCAATCAGTCTCCGCATTACATCAAGACACTTCGTAAATACGATTCAAACCATCACTCACCCAATATGGCTATCAAGAATGTCATCATCGTCGGAGTATGTCTCTTTCACATGACTTAAGATCTTGTAACTAAAAACAGTCAGGCGAGTGGAAACCTAGGACCCGCAATTCTGGATGTTTTCCTAAAGGAATCCTCCTTCAACACGACAGTTCTTTCGCGCCAAAGCTCTGCCGCGACCTTTCCATCTGGCGTGAAGGTCATCAAAGCAGACTATGATTCGGCAGACAGTCTGAAAGATGCTTTCAAAGGCCAGGATGCTGTCGTCTCTCTTGTTGGCGGCATGGGGCTTGGCGATCAGAATAAGTTGATTGATGCCGCCATTGCCGCAGGTGTGCAGCGCTTCATCCCCTCGGAGTATGGAAGCAACACACTTGACGCAAGGATCCGTGCTATCGTGCCTGTCTTTGAGGCTAAGATTGGCGCAGTCAATTATCTCAAGAACAAGGAGAAGGAAATCAGTTGGACATCTATCGTCACTGGTCCCTTCTTGGACTGGGGCCTGAAGACTGGTTTCCTAGGCTTCGATGCTGCTTCCAAGACAGCCACTCTATACGACAATGGTGAAGCCACTGTCTCAAATACTACTCTCCGCAAGATTGGTCTCGCAACCGTCAAGGCGCTCGAGAAGGAGGACCTAACCAAGAACCAATACGTCTACGTCAGTGAGGTGCAAGCGTCGCAGAAGGAAATCCTCGCCGCGATCGAGAAGGTCACGGGCGCAAAGTGGACCGTCAACAATGTCAGCACCAAGGACCTCATTGCGGATGGACGTGGCAAGCTTCAGAAGGGAGACTTTTCGGGCCTTGTTCCCCTGATTCTAGGCGCTACATATGGCAAGGAGGAGGAGCTAGGTAACTTTGTATCTCAAGGCTTATGGAATGAGAAGCTGGGTGTGCCGAGTGAGAGCTTGGAGGAGATTGTCAAGAAGAGCCTCGGTTAAGGGAGGGAGAAGCTCGTATAAATATTAAAACGAGATAGTCCGTTAATCCACTACATCTGTTGAAAACAACAACACCAAGCATACGTGAAGTAAAATGGATTAATCTTGGTTTTGGATGGCGAGCATATCTAAAGCGTTCACATATGCTAAATGTAGTACGCTAGCTGCTTTGGGACTAGATCTGGGGAAGATGCCCCGAATCTCCATCTGCGGTCTGAGACAGCACACGTAAAGTTATTCAAGACGCGTTGATTCGTCGCAACTCTCAATTGGACCCAGTCAATAGTCTCACTGACGTTCTCAATCCAAAGGCGATCATGGCCGACCGCGCGGCTAAACGGATGCGACGCATAAGCACCGAGTATGACGAGTCTGAGGATGGATGGGATGGAAGAGGAAACAGCAGGTATGTGGCTGACTGTACGACGGATAGCTCCTATCGCCGACCCAGCGGCGAGACAAACACGCACGGGGAGCTCTTACAACCACCCAAGCCGAGAGCGCCTGAATTTCACAACCACCTTTGTACCACGCCTGCACCCCCCGACACAGCCCGTCTTCAGCACGCCGTCGCAGCCCTTTGTGATATTGACCCTTTACTTGACCACCTCTCACCACCATGCCTCGTCTTCGGTCTCGCGCAGCTCCTCAAGCTCTAACCGCTCCCAGTGCCGTTCCCACAGCCTCCTCGACCCGCCCTCGCCGCGGAACAGCGAACCAGTCGCCCGCCGCTGCCGTCATACAACGCTCCTCGCCCGAGGAGACACGCCAGTCGATCCACCTCACTGTAAAATCTTCGCCCAACAAACTAAGACAAGCCACGGGCGGAGCCGCACCAAAGGCAGGCGTCAGCAGGCAGAACATCGTCGCGGGCAAGCGTGCCTCTAGGAGCAGTCGCGTGGTGCGGGAAGTGGACAGCGAGGATGAGGAGGAAGAGGATGACGCCGAGGAGGTCGATGCCATGGACGTCGACGATGACGACTCGGACGAGAACGACGTAGACGCAGAGGGCGACGAGGACGACGACATGGACGCAGAGGGTGACGAGGACGACGACATGGAGGATACGCCAGCACCGCGCATTACCGTCAACGCCAATCGGGGCATACCCGTCAAGCCAGCCCCCGCAATAAAACTTACAAAGGCCCAAGATCGGGTAGAAGCCAAGGAGATGGCCATGGACGATGACGACGACGACGACCTCAGCGACCCCGATTCTGATCTCGAAGAAGAAGACGCAGAGGGTGAGGATGAAGATGCCGAGGGCGAAGAGGACGACGAAATGGGCGTAGCACCTGGTGGTGATATGGATGAGGACATGGATAGCGATGAGGACCTCAGCCGCGACCAGACACCCGATGTGAGCAAGATGACAAAGCGACAGCGAGCGTTGGTTACAGAGGAAGGCGACGGCACACTGCTCGCCCTGTCCAACGAGGCACAAAAGAAGAAGCATCTCACGGCCGAAGAACACGCCATGCGTAGAGCAGAGATGGCCAGACGTAGGAAGAACTTGAGTGAAAAGAGGAACGAGGAGGAAAAGGTACGTTTACTCCAAGACTCGTACAATATCTTCTGCTACATGTACTAACTATCATTTCCAGCTCGACACCATCAACCGCTTGCTCAAGAAACAACCCCCGAAACGCGGCCGCAAAGCCCTGCAAGACGAAGATGGCCAGGAAGAGGAGCCAGAACCCGAGCGAGCAAACCCGCTCTTCGTACGCTACATCCAAAACGCAAAGGGTACCCAACTCGCTGTTCCGGATGAGTGGCTACAGGCGCCTGTAGGAAACCTTTTTACAGGTGACTTGCAAAAGGGGGCTCAGAAGCCATTTAGTGGTAGGATGGTTGAGGAAGTTGCTTGAAATGGGTCCATATTTAAAACATGACGGAGTCGTTATAAATCAACCAGATATCCAAAGGAGAACCCGCCAATTATCTAGGCATTGTTCTCTTACCATTATCTTCTATCCCACAATATCATCAAGTTCAAAACATGTACTCTTGTTTTTTAGTGTGGTGCTTGATTCTTGTTATCTACTCGACCTCCAATCTCATCGCATCATACTGCACATACACCGACTCTGGCAGCAGCGCACTTTCATAGTTTGTCCCGTTGTACGGCAGACTAAGGATGATGCTGTTTTCCTCCCCTGATTTGAGTATAGATGCGTCAAAGGTGAATTTGTGAGCCAGATTGTAACATATCACAGCCGAGCGCACGGCACAAGAGGATGATTGATAGTGCCTGGCTCACGTTAGTATAATAACATGGACACTATGATTCAACCGCTCAAGCACGCCTTGCCCCTGAACCCACTAGAAAGAGAAGAGAACTTACGGAATAACCCACGGCACTAAATCCACCCCATTAACCGCCACGCCCAACGGCAAATCCGCCCACCTCTCCGTCGCATTAAAAACATCCGTATTACCCGCCGCCGTCTTCGCCCCTGCCAGCTGCACCGTAAAAGTCGCCGTGTCCTTCCCTCGCACCTCCTCCTCACTCACCTCAAACAATATCGTCCAATTATACTGGTGCTCTGGCACTGACACCGGCCGCTCTGAATTCGCTTTCCCACCATACACAGCCCAATGGACGTAATTCAGCGCCGTGGAAACATCATCGTGGCCTACGCGATACGTTACACCGTTTGGGAAATCAGTGATGTAGTCGTAGGCCGCCCAGTATAGACGGTATTCTTCTGTTAGCAACGGGTGTGTGGGTGAGGCTGTGGTGCCGTGGAGGTATTCGCCCGAGGATTTATCTGGAGTGCCGATGCGGAAGAGTTCTTTACCCGCTGAGTCGGGGGCCCATGTTAGGTTGGAGAGGGAGGTTGTGGCGCCGGGCGTGATGGTGATGTTGTCGTGGGTGTAGTCGCCGAAGATGGAAGTGGCATAGATGGTTAGGCGGTAGCTTCCTGCCTTTACACGGGGGATGGTGATGTGTTGAGAGGTGGTGTTTGTAACAAGAGGGATCTCGGTCCAGTATTGGTAGGCGGTGGGGTCGAAGACGTTGTCTTGGAAGTCGTGGCCGCTGGCTGTTAGGATGGCGATTGCGTTTTCAGCGCCAGAGGGGAGGCGGATGGTTGCGTTGAAAGTGCCACGTTGCGAAGTAGGAACGAGATTAGGTACGTGGTGTGCGATTGAATCGTAGAAGGCGGCGTTCCAGTCAGGCTGGAGACCGTACTGTGAGGCATCATCTCTGAGTTCTTCCAGTGAACCACCGGCGTTGAAGTGGAAGTATTGGGGCCCAAAGGTACGGTCAAACCCGTCGGTTATATTTGGTGTTTGGTCGCCGTGGTGGTTGCTGACCATGTAGTTGTACACGATACCATCGACGACGAGATCCGAATGTACGGGACCGTTAAAGTACGTTTCGACTGTGTTGTGGACGAGCCAGGCGCCATACGTAGTACCGTTCTTGCTCCCACTGCCATCAGCCCACATGCCGTGAGCGCGGTGGTTACGCCAAGTATCCTGGAACGTGTACTTTGTAAAGTACTCCCCTACCCCTTTTACATACGCATCCTGATCATTCGCCAGCTTCCACGTTGCGTCTTGCACGACAACTTGGCCCGTTGTATCCGGCCTCGGCGCCGCAAACTGCTCGTTTGCAACAAAGTGCGTGAAGAGCGGTGGATCATGATTCGGTCTGAACAAAGTTCGAAATTCCTGTAGATTACGCAGAAAAGGGGTTGTCTTATTGTCGTAAACCAACCGACTAAACGTGTGTAGTCCAGTCTCTCCTTCCCGTAGAAACCAGTACTGTTCCAACCTTTGTCCCGTAAGCGCATACGTCTCGCCCATGCTGATGCCACCGTAGGGTGTGCTTGTGGAGTCTGTGCCATTGAAGAGCTGGTATTGGACGTTTTTTCCTCGTCCAGGTGTCCAGAAGCCGGCTGGTGTACAGTAGCAATCCAGGTATGGACCTATACCCGTATTATCTCCAGATTCTGAACCTAGCAAATTCTGGCCATCGAGCGTGAGAACGCTGATGTATCCCCGACTTTTACTCACGGAAGCTACGAGGCGGTCGTTAGAAAGTGTTAGACTTGTGGCATTTTGGCTGGCTTGGAGGAAGGCGCTTGTGCTCTCCAACAACAGCAAGAGCGCCGTGGTTGTTGTTAGAGCGAGGCGACGCATGATTTAACTTAGCGACGAGCACAGTTACTCGTCCTGGAGGAATTCCTTCATATAAGCTTTTATACCTATTAGTTCTTCCAGGTACACGGGAAAATTAGCGGAGCGCGAGGCGGGTGATCTTGGCTGGAACCCGGGGTAAAGGGTGGGTACTATGGGCTAATGACGCTAATTGGCGCCTTCGGGGGGAACGAGCCCGAGTGTAAAAATGGGGTTCGTGGAGATGGGGTATGGCCCACTTGCTGATTTAGGAAGGTAGGTTGGATACGAGGGAGCTTCGCCTTAGGTTACCACTGTTCATTGTTAACGTAGTGCCGCTCAGTAACAAGTTCGTTGCTTAAGGCAGTATGACCGCTAACCTGTAGCTCAAGCAACGACACAGGGCTGCTAATTCTACCGGAAGTTCTACAAGATCTCGTGATTTGATATAAATCACATTCGATTGACAGTATCACCTCCTTCTCATTCACTTTGGTGTTTTCGATAAAGTTTCTCACTCATTTCGAGCAACAGAGTGTAGAATATTTACAAACTTGATATTACAAAATAAACAACGATCAAGGTGTACATTGGCTCGATGAATCCAAGACAATTCGCACAGGGAGTAATCCACAGAGGATAACATGGTAATTGACACCATCATCCCACGCATACATGTTAGCCATTCTGACTAGATGTGTACCACGACCACTACCACCCTTTTTACAAAAACCGTCCATACCTCCCATACCCTCAACAGCTTTTAACCCCCCATTCCATTTCCTTATCCCTACCCTCCACCTCACAATCACATATACAATGCAGCAAGTACGCTCGAAACCCCAGCAACCTCTTCCCCAACCACATACATCCAACTTCCTCAGTTCGCCACACAAATATAATGCGCATGCCCAGCCTGTTTCATATTAAAAAAGCACCTCGGCGGCCCCTGCACCTCTGGAACTATTTCTACCGGCACCTCAACCTCTGTCCTCTCGGGCGTCTTCACTGCGCTAGAAACGCAAACATACTGGTTCGACGACAGGTTCTTGCACCGGTTATCCAGCGCGGGGTTCATGGCGTAGAATTGTGCTAGAGTCAAGTTGTTCATGGTGGAGATGCCGAAGCATGTGTCGTATGCTTCTACAAAGTGGAGGCTGTTGCATTCTAGGGCTGTTGTGGGTGTGGGGAGGCTGGGCGTGTAGTTGATGCAGTATGAAGCGCCCATGACGAGGGTGTCGGTGTCTACACATACGGCGGGGTTCTGAGCGTGTATCATTAGTATACAGTGTGAAGGATGTGGTTTGTCTGTCTGCTTTGGAAACGTACATATGATTTGAACTGCGCCATGTTGAGCCGGTAAAAGTTCGCGATGGATCCAAATGATTCCCCTGTTTTGGCGATATGCCAGGCATCGCAATCCTGGTGCGCATCCTTCGCCGTGATGGTGGGTGGTGGGACACGGTATGCAGATGCGAGAGAAACGACGCCGATAAGACTGACGAGTGTTTGCATATTGAAGACGGCCATGTTTATTACCCGCTCACTCTCAAACAGAGACAGCAAAAAAAAAATAAGAGAAAGATATAAATGAACGTATCTTCTCGGCTGATCGACAAAAGCGCAAAACGATGCAAAGTGGGAGGAAAAGACTGTGATGATAGAGACACAACAACTCCAGCTTCCCAGAAAGAAGTTATATAACAGCAGATGATGACTCCTCTCCCCAAGCTCGTTTTTAGTCACTAAGCACACTACACCTCACGCTATTCGCAACCCCCGTTTGCACTACTTCCTCTACCAAACTCTCAACATGTATCGCCCATAGCCCCGCGCCACGGGTACCGGCAGCCTCGCCCGGAAGGCCAGATAGCTAGTCTTTCAGTCGAGGAATGGATAGCGGAGAGTAGATAGGACAGTGTTGGTCCCGAGGAACGATGCATTGAACAAAAAAGTGTTTTTGTTGGTCCAAGTTTGCTGTCTATTGCTGTCTAGTCAGCCGAGCGCATGCCAGGAGCTGCCCTCTTGTCTCAACCTGTTGAGGCCAGCCACCTACGTATTCTGTGCTATTTGGAATGAAGAACCGCCTTTTGTGTTGAGGTTGATGCGTTTGGCTTAGGGGGGTTTACCCGAGGACTTACCGGATTAGATGCTAAGGACGCTGGAGGTTGATAGGTTAGGGGGGTGCTTTGTTGCTGGCACGGATGGTAGGGTGAACAGTCCTGGTAACTCGCTCGACTGGTTGTGGTGAGTAGGGTAACTGGATTGGGAGTGTATGTATTTTGATCCGTGGCTGGGGTATATCGTGTTTTGAAAGAATCCCATGGACGCATTGCAAGATGCCGCTTATGTTTTTGCCCATCGGTATCTGGAAATTGGAAGCTCGCCCTGTCACTGCTTCTGTGACGACATTTCCGATTGAACGTAACTAGTCCAGACCAGGCTTTCCCGAACTTCCCACTAAACACCCTGCTCGATATTTCGTGTCTTCGAGAAGACGACGGGAGGAAGTGTCTAAAAAACACTCCTTCCAAGTCCGCCTTGCTTCCCGGCATAGATGTCCGTGTCAGACTCGAAAAGCCATCCTTTCTTTGCTTTTGTATATCGGCGGGTCATTACCCGCTTTCTCCTAACTAGCCAACCAAGAACGCCTTGACTGCACTGGATTCACCAACGCTCACATGCGCCGATATCTAGTCAGCCACATGCCTGTCATCTACAAAGAACGACTGTTTTACTAAAACCGGGTACCCAAGAACGGTGCAAATTAGCTTGATGGGGCTTGCTTTTAGAGGGGAACGCCGACTCCCATGTCTGGCTTCGACTGGCACCCAATATTCAGAGTTTGGGAGTCGCAAAGAACTTATTTGGCCGAACGATTGACGATATTGTGGCTTCAGGGGTTCAGGCACCGTTCTTCTTGGCTATGGTTAGAAGAGAGTAAGCAAGGCTAGTTTCCATCCTGTCCCCTCTCTTGTAAACGACGTTAGTACATGTGCAATCAAAAGGGCACCAAAAAAATTGCAATAAATGTTTCAAATGTGAAATTTATCAACGGTTATCCCGCTGTTTCTGAGTATGACCTGATGACCGAATCTCTCCTTAACCTACTGTTTGCGTTGAGTTTTCGCAGTACGAGGGTTATGCTATATCTTCCTCCGCTTACTCGCCGTAGGTGCGTCATCATCTTCTACGGTCGGCGTATCCTCGTTCCCCACGCGTCCACTGTGCCTCTCCACATCCCTCCACGTACTAACCAGGCCCTGGACAGTCTGGAACATATCCCTTGCATCATTTACAACGCCCTCTTCACCGGGGTTGAACATGACGGCGTTGACAAACATGCGCATGAGCTCTTTTTCCAGTTGTGTGGCATTGACAATGGATTTTGGAGGCACATTGTCCACTGTGACAGGGAGTTCAACGACGCCTCCTGTAGCACCACCAGGGCTGCCTGTCGGGTTATCCGATGCAGCCGCTGCAGCGCTAACTTGCTTCGCACCAGTAGCTACTGCCTTTTTGATCGAGGTTAGATCTGTGGGGCGCTTGATGATGTCGTAATAGCCTTCTGCATCCTTTGCGCGGACAGCTGTGTTGAAAGTAGAGGCATGTTTGTGTGAGTTAATGTCATACATCATGGGCGCGGTCATGCGTGCAAAGTTTCGTGGTGCAACCAGGGTCTTGGGCGGGCCTGGTGTACTGAACATGTGATCTTCCTGTTCATCCAAAGAAGCCTCCCGGGCATTGCGCTTTCGGCGGGTGGAAAGTGGTGCTGATGTTGCGGCGGGCCCTCGTCGGCGGGTAGACATGTGTGAAGGCGTTTCTGCGGATCCCTCCTCTTCGATGGCCTCAACCGAGGTTCCACGCTCTGACTTGATCCGATTCCCGGCCTGGGATTCGTTATCGGCCGCTATTGTATCAGTATGTGAGAGAATAGACTGGCTTCTGCTTCGGTCTCGTACAGAACCACCTGCTCGTGACGATGTAATACTGCCGGGTCTTGCTCTCTTCGCAGGCGCTTTTCTCCTGGACCGTCCAGAGCGAGTCTCTGGCTCTAGCATGGAATCTTCTTCTGCGTCATTAGGCTGCTTGACGCTCTGTGGCGTTTCAGTGTCTGCTGTGGGGTGATGCTGTTCCGCTTCTTTTCCTTTGCCTTTTGCTCTTGACTTGCGCTGCGCCTTTGCTTTTGGTGGAGTCTGTTTTGGTCGGATGAGCGGGGGTACATCGTCAAGGGGCTCCACTTCGGGACGCGGGCTTGCGTGCATGGCGGGCGCTTCACCGAGACTCGACCGCTTCCAAAAGCTCCGGGCGGATACCGGAGTCCCAAGAGCACTGACGGGAGAGCGCAGATTTGTGGGCGTTGAGAGAGGGTTTCTTGCCTGGGTAACAAGGGGGTGTACTGGTGGTACTCCTGGTCTGGCAGCACCGGGCGTCTGTAGAATTGGCCTTGATGGCTGCCGGGTGCCGGTTGGGGTAGAGGCTTGAGGATACTGTGGCGGCACAGTTGGCTGATGGTGTACACGTGATGGGTCCTGTGGCGCAACCTGGAAT